AATTCACAGTTTTAATTTAAATAAAAATATGAATTTAAAAATTTAGTTTCATACTAAATTATTTATTTAATCAACCATTAAAAAAAGTTTACATCTTTAAAATGTTTATATTTTTCTACATAAAATTAATAGCAATATAGCGTGCAACATAAAAATAATGCACGCTATACCTTTTTTTAAAATAGTAAAATTAGACTTATAGGTATCCGTAAATCGGGTCACTTTTTTTTCAATAATTTTGTATCGGTCCTTAAAGGACAAAGTTGTTGTTGTGTAAAGAAAATGTTTTAATAACTACATCAATATTAGGTAATTAATAATTTGTTTCATGTTATATTTAATGAAAACGGTTGGTTTAATTTATAGAATTACCTTAAAAGTTAAATGTTAATGCCATTTTTCATGGACAACTGTAGTTTTTTTACAAAACAGATTGCCAATTTAAAAATATCAAAAATACTAAGTTGGAAAATTAGATAATATTTATCTCTACTTTTTTTGTCAATTTGGTGAATTTAGCACTACTATTTTTATTTGCGCAACACTTCAAAATACTGTGAGTTACCTACCTTTCAAAAATAAATAATATTTTAACATATCTGGTCTTAAATGAAAATTTTGATCAATATACTTGCTTAGTGTCGAATATGCTTTAATTATTATAATCGTATCATCTGGACAGTCATAAAAAAAAATCTGCGAAAAAAACAGTTTTCCGGCAATTAAAGAAAAACCATAGTCCCGAATTTTTTTCTCGTTTAATATGTTATTTACATATTTATTACGGACAGATGTCCAATTAACAATGAAATAACATAACATGGTAAATCTAAATACAACAGTTATAAAACAAAACTTAAAAATTACATAATAAATAGTAAATGATAAACATGCAATATATTTGAAAAAATTGAATTTTATTTAGTAAGTTATTTCCTGTAGTCATTAAAATATTAATTTATCTATATTTATAGAGAGACTATTAATGATACACCAATCGTTGAAATTATTTAAGTCTTCTTGTAATAATAAAGAACCATCAGGAGTTTTAATGGATTTAAAGATTTTTGCGTCATCGGCAAAAAGCAAGATTTCAGAATTTTTGATAGCAAAAGCAATATCATTGATAAATAGATTAAAAATAAGTGGAGAAAGGTGATCTCGTGGACCTTGTGACCTTATGACCTTGTGGAACTCCAGAAATTACAGCTATTGGGTTAGAAACAAAGTTTTTGTATTTTACGTATTGGGTTCTCAGGGTTAAAAATGAATTTAACCAAGATAGAAGAGGATCAGCAAATCCAATTTTACTGAGCTTTAGAATTAATAATTGATGATCAACTCTATCGAATGCCTTCTCGAAGTCAGTGTAAATTGCGTCTGTTTGTTGTCCAATAGAGAAAGAATTTAGAAGGTAATTAGATTTGTGACGGTAGATTTTTTACTACAGAAACCATGTTGTTGCGGAACTATTATATTTTTGAATAACGGAGTAAGTTTTGAATTGATAATTTTGAGAAAATTTTAGGTAGGATAGAAATGATAGATATAGGACGATAATTAGAAATTATAGATCTATTACCTTTTTTAAATATGGGATTAATGAAGGTATGTTTCCATTGAGTGGGAAAACAACCACTGTTTAAGGAAGCATTAAAAATGTAAGTGATAGGTGGGTACAAAATAAATCTGAATACATGAAGAAATATAGGAGAAAGACCATCAAAACCAGTGGCAGTTTTATTACTTAAACATTCCAATTCATGAAATACATCAATTAGATTTATATGAAGGTTATTTATAGAATCAAAGGAATTAACCACTGAAGAAAAGCTATTAGGGTTAGGTATGCTTGTTTTTTTATATACAGATGCAAAATAACGACCAAAAAGATTAACAATTCCTTGACCATCATCAGCCGTTTCATGATCGAGAATTACTGAATTGGGTAGTCCAGATGAAGATTTAAGGTTTTTCATAAATGACCAAAACTTTTTACGTTCTGAACACAGAGAATGTTGGGTATTACATAGATAACTGGTATAATCTAATTTGCTCTGAGTTTTGCATTGAGAGCGAATGGCTGCAAATTTTAAGTAGTCATTGCGTGAATTTGATATTTTGAAGTATTTATGGAGTTGTTTTTTTTTGAAAAACTAATTTTTTAAATTTATTAGAAAACCAGATCGGGTATTTTGAATTGAAATATCTTTTTATGGGAATAAAAGAATTAATAGAAAAGAATAATAAGGAATAAAATTTATCAACGAGAGCAGATAAGTCACTATTAATTTAAAAAAATTCAGACCAATCAATTGAACCCAAAAATGATATTATAGTGTTATAATTACCATTTGACCAGTCATAGGATACTTCGCAATAAGATAGATCTGGAGGAAGGTGGTTGAATTGATGGCAAACATTTAAGGGTGGATGATAACTATCAATTGGGTCAATACAATCATTATTCAACGAAACCTTAGGAGAAGAAGAATTAGATAAAATTAAGTCAAGCATCGAACCTTTTATATTCGGTATAGTATTTAATTGAGATAGATTGAGAAGTGCTAAATGTTCATAAAAAATGTTTTCGATGGAAGATATATTTAACTTTAAATTTATCGTATTTTTATTAAAATTAGGTAGGTTAAAGTCGCCAAAAAGTAAAAATTCGGCATTGGGATAAATTAAGATTAAATTTTCAAGAATATTAAAGTAATCAATATACAAAGAAGAAGAAGAGTTAAGGGGGAAGTAAGCACAACCGATAATCAGTTTTTTATGATATTATTTTGACCGAGACGAAACAAAGTTCTAGTGATTTAACATCAACATCAAGAGAAGTCGATATGCATTTATTATTGACGGTTATATGTACCCCTCCACCTCTGATTAGTGGGCTAGATATGATAGATCTATCACATCGATATACTGAATATTCAAAAAGACCTAGCTCTGAAGAGTTTGTATTATTATGAAGCCAGGTTTCAGTAAAAATCAAGGCACAAAAGTTAAAGAAATAAATGTTGGTTTTTAACAAGTTAAACTTAGAATTTAGGCCTCTTACATTTTGATAGTAGAAGTTAAACGAGGCGACATGATCTTTATTTAGTTTTTTGATTTAATAATTGAAGGGGAACCCTTAATGTACTTTATAATTAGATCTGATTCACCGTTTGATCTGCGACGAAGAAGTTCTTCACGTAAATGGAGCATATGGTCACGTTGTGATTTGGTTTTGTCCGAAGAGAAACGAAGATCTTTCCATGATTGATTATCTTTTAACTTCTTTTGAGAGGAAAAAATATCAAAGATGTCCTTTTGGTCGGAGAAACACAATTTGAGGGGTCTTGGTTTAGAAGTAGTAGATGATGTCAATCCCAAACGCGAAATAGAAGTAGGTTTAGATTTCGAATCAAGAAATTTGAGAATTTCTTGAACAGACGCTGCATCATTGGAAGAGACGGGCAAATTAAAGAGCAAAACATTATTTAGGCGGTTTTGTCTATCCAACATCTCAGTTATAACTTCATTATTGATTAAATCTTTTGACACAGATGAAGATGAGTTAATAGTTGTAAGTTGATTTTCAATGCTGTCAACTCTATTTTTTAAAGAATCACTGATTGAAGATAAAGAATCAACACGAGTAGAGAGTTCACTAATTTTTTTAATGAGAGAAGATAATTTCTCATTTTGGTTATTAACACTCGAAATAATTTTTTGTTGTGATGCTTTGAGTTCATTCATGGATTTAATAAGTTCATCGATCTTTGATTCCATCATAAAATAATACCAAAAAAGAAAAAGAAAAAAAATATATATTGTATTTTTATCCTATTATATGATAAATACTTTGCACACGGTATATACAGTGTTTATATGATTAGATGATAAAGGTTATACGAATCACTTAGTGACGTCACGGAATATGATAAAAGTATTGGAGGTACCTTTAGTAATGTAACCTTTAGTATAGAAAACAGCTGATAGCTAAAAATCTTGTGAATTCAACTGACAACTCCAGCAATTTTGTACCCTGGATAATGATGGTGGTAGGATGAAAGCGTTCAAACGTACACGTACCCGAGTAAAGAAATAAAAATAAAAGTCAATAAAACAAAATATAACAATTAAGATAACGTACTTATTTTAAAATTTAAGTATAAAGCTAGTCGAAATTTACCACTGTTATCACTGTTATGGATACATAAGAGTTTTAACTACTGACAAATTTTCAACTTGAGGGTCAGAAATCTACGGCTACAAAACCCAAAAAACTTGCACCCCCCCCCTAGAGGTTATTAAATTTAATAGACTTGTCGTGTGCGGGCATATCAAATAAAAATCCTTATAAATATCAACTCGATCCGACTTTTTTTCCTCGAAATTATAGCCAGTAAAATTTCTAACCTAAAAACTCGTATGGTTTTTTCAAATTTTAACTGTGCAGAAGTAAACTTTTTCAACTTTAACCCACTCAAAGTACCAATTAGATAAAATTTGTGATTTACAGAGTTGCTACTCGAAGGAATTGGTCCAGTATTAAAAAAGTTACAGTGTATACAGATAAAAAAAAAACCCACTGAATTAAAGGTGGTCAATAGATGCTAAATTCCTGTAGAGCGCATTAAAGAAAACGCTACTATATTATCTTCAGTGTCAATTGATACTGACCTCTTCTTTGGTAATTTCTTACTGTGTTGTTTGAAATGTGCTATTGGCTATTTTTTTTTTTTTTTTTTGATACTTTGATAAAGTAATAATTTAAAGAAAAACATTAGTTGCATTAAATATATATGTATTTTCTATATGAAAAAATTTAGAAAGCGTTTATATGTAATTAATAATATTAGTCTAAAAATAAATCTTAGTAGTGACAATCATTTATAAATAAGAAGCATCCATACAAATATCACGCTTTTTGTTGATACAGTGCATAGTATAAATTATAATAAAATGATTATAGATTTAATTAAATATTAAATTTAGTAAAATTATTAGTATGGATGGTTTTCATCGGATTTAAGATTATCAGTATATTTCGGTCGGCCGGCCATTTCCAACAATTTCATGTCCATGTAATCCGTATTCGTGGGTTTCTTTCTTTTTTTCTCGTCGCTTTCATCATTTATCTTTTCTTTTACACACCACACTTCTAGTGAACTAATGACAAAATCTTTTTCTTTCGTTGGCATTGAAAAATCTGCAAATGTTGAACACGAGACATTGCACTGGCCTTTGCCATATTCAGAATCCAACCAAAGACCCCAATAACCCATCTGTCCACCCATACCTAAACCATTAGGAAAAGTGTATTGGCCGTTATTCATGTACATAAAATTGTCGTTACGCCCACTTGCTACACAGCAATTGAAATTCGGAAGTAACGTAAATAAAAAACAACCAGAATCTCCATAAAATGATGGTTTCATGATCCACGATTGCGAAGCATAACCACCGAAAATATTACCATCAGTATCTTTTACAACAACAATTGTGCACCCTTGATCAATAATTGCTGCGATTAACGCTTGGAAACTCTCTCCGTGTGAACTAGATGAATATAATAAACGCCAGCTGTTTTGACAGTCTGATGGTAAATGTTTAACGATAAACATTATCCATCCGAAATCTAATATAGTTTTAAATGATTTATTGTATTTTTCATCAATACCAATAGCCGGAAATAAATTATTATTCTCCGGTACACCATAAAGGGTAGTGATTAGTATTCTATGCATTAATCCGTAGTAAGTTTCTTTTTGCAACCATGTGTCTATGCTTGAAGATATGGATTCGTTGGAAAATTCTAAACCTAATTGTGGTATTGCTCTTGATTTTGCATTAACCTGTACCCAGTGTTTATACTGATCGGTAGATTTTAAACAAATCATTAGTGATTCAGTCAAATCGATTGAATACTGTAGAACACTTGAATTTGAAAATATTTTCTTAACCAGACCATGGTAGTTTTCTTGGTACATTGCATTCAAAGCAAAAGATTGATATATATGCTCAATTTCTGATCTATCTGATTGGTTAGAAAGAAACCAAAGTCTTACGTGTTGTGCCATGTTTTCAGTCAACAAAGGTTGCCATTTGCTCAGTAAATTATCCACATGAACATGGTCGTTGAAGTTCATTAAATTATCAATAGCAACAGATTCTTCAGGACGTAACGGTGGCAAACGTGGATTCTTACTTTTTTTAGCTCCCATTTACAAATTTAATTTTTAACTTACCTAATGGATTATGCGATTAAGGAACGACAATTGTAGACGTCGTTAAGCAGAAATACGTTCTGTTAACTCAAATCTCTTGTTTATAGTGTTGACCATCAATTAAAATGTCGATAAACAGTTAATGGTATTTTTTATTATTACTATCTTTCAGTTTTAACACATGATCCTATTAAAGTAAATGTATCCTGTACAAATAATACAGCCATTATTTTTTGTTACAACATATTCACTTAAAAGTGTGCTTATAAAAAAACGCCAAAAATGTTCGAAGATTAAAAAAAATAAAATTAAAACTGTTGTCAGGCTGTCATTATTATTAGCCATAACAACATTTTCTAATGTATGTGACAAATTAAAGTGATCAAATAATGTAAAAATGTATTTTAAAAATCACATCCTCGTAGTTCACACAACAACCTGTTTAAAATTATTTTTGAAATTATTTTAATTACATTTATTTTCTCGATTCTTAATTTTTTGTAATAAATTACACGACCTTATAACTTTTTTCAATCAAAATGAAGTCACTTGTTTTATGTATTGAATGTTAACCTGTGCAACGGAGACACAAATGTACTAGGTATTGTTTTAATTATTTCACAATAAACTAATTCAGGATTAGAAAATAGAGAAACTAAATTATATTTGCTTTAAATTTTTAAGTATACGACTTATACCATATGTCATTATGGTCAAAATTATGGCTACTAAATAAGGTATTTTATAATATTTTTTATTAGTTTTATTGTTTTACATGATATATAATTGATAAATTTATATTCATAATCAGAGATATACATAAACAGATAAAAACAGTAGATAGCTGGAAAAGACAGATTATAAGTAAACTATAGTACCAATATAGTTACATGTTAATGGAGGCACTGGAAACCCCTGGCAGTGTTGCCAACCAAACCAACCAAACCTAACGTAAGTAAACCTAATACAAATATATTATTGTCAAGTTATAAGTGATAACAGGTTGCCAACTCATATAAGATAGTCTACCAGATAGAGCCAGTCTACCCTAACTTTCACTTAATGAGATATAGCTAATGATAACAGCTCGTATTATTGATTTCGTGGAGGTAAAACCACGATTATAAGGAGATAGTAAAACCGCGACAACGCCAACCTAACCTAACTTTCACGCGTTAAGATATGTTTTTTTATACATTTACCAAGAGCTTGAAGTATATCCTAAAGTAATTCTTATACTCAGAAAATATTTGATTACTCCTTTCTCTCTACTAGATGATTTTATTTAGGCAATTAAAATCAAATTTACATAATTACTGATTCTTTGGTCCCGGGTAGAAAGGGCTTAAGTCAATTTTACCAATTATTTTGCCAATTGAACCAAAAAAAATCAGCAAAATTTAAGCTTTAAATCTACGGAAAAAAAATGTTGTGAAAGAAAGCATTTTCTACCTGGGACTAAAGAATTAATTAATCATGCATCATAGTAAAACCCGTTGCACACCTTTTTAGGTACTTTCTTTCATACGCCGTGTATAAAATGCGCAGGTAATTAAAATTAGTTGAGAAATTAAAAAATTAAATTGATGACTTACCTATGTGAACAAAATATTATTAAAAGTGTAAACTTAGCCAAATACAACACAACCAATAGTACATATTTAGGTATAGATAATCCATTCAAATTGTTCTACATATGTTTAGATGCTAAAAATTGAAATAAGTGTAAACATAGAAAAATGGTACAGATTTCTACTTGAGTTGAGGTAAGAGATAAATGAATGGACAAAATAACAATTTACACTTTTGGATCTCAATGACGAAATTAATCAGCGTGAGCTAGTAGACGAATCATGAAAATATTGTGGTTTTTTGAAGAGTATCGATTTGGAAGATTACCTTTTAAACGTAAATATGTAACCAAATACACTTCAATGAGCTGCGGTAGTACTCACAATGGTTATGCGTATACATCTTCCTACAGTTTTAATAGAAATTCCACATCGAAAAAAATAAGAGTTGAATCTATCGTTAAACTATACGTTTTGTTGCCGTTAAGGTACCAACATTTAAATAAAATGGCACATTTTGTATATCAGGGTTCGAGCAACCTCCTTTCGCCGCCCGATCAACAACATTTAGGCACACTAGCTAGCATTATTACGATAAAGAGCCACCCTATAGGTTTCATTTTCTTAGATCCTGATAAAATGAGTCATCTACGTGTACGATGGGTTAGCTGATGGATTACCGAAGTAGTGTCCACTGTAGTTGCTAAGTACTTAATCTTGATACTTCAGCACATCCCGCCAGTGCTACTACCGTAACCGCTGCACCGATTTACTACTAGCCAATACCGCACGTAAATATGTTAATAATGTACCAAAAAGTTGGGAAATACGATCACACATATTTTAATAACAACAATGTATTACATAATTAAAGTAAAACGAAACAATAACATTTTTAAATACGAGAAAAACATAGAAATAATCGCACACAGTCGCCCGTCACGTCAGCAGTTTCAGTTTGAACACGAGATTTTTGAAACGATGACAAGTGTCGGTGTAAAGCCTTAACGCTTTTTTAAAGTATTCCGCGACATCTTCGTCTTGAGAACAAATGCCCATGTACAGGCCCAAAAAAACCATGGCCGACACAGATTCGGAAAGTCCGGGGTAGACTGGCTTCATGGCCGTCAATTCTATTAGCGCCGAACTACTGCGGCCAGCTACGGTTTGTTCGAGGAATCCCATTGTTGGCAGATCGGCAACGGCCAGCCCGGCGTGCACCGGTGACAATGGATCGGGGCCGCACACGTGTATCTTGTACTTGCTGTACAAAAACGGTCGCTCCATAAACGCCTGTTGACATTCGGGCGAACAAAACGCGAAAGACAAGTAAGAATAGGTGACCACATATTGCGGTAGACCGCGTTTGTACACTGGATTCCACAGGCAAGACAGCGCGCACACCACGCAGAACTCGGAAAACCGTTCGCATCTGATGGCCATGTTGTTGGCCAAGTCGGACGGCGTTACCTAATAACGATAATCATATTAAAACTTAAGCGAAACATTAAAACAGCTTTAAGACCAGAACTATAAGATATTAATATGATGGTTGTCAATGGTATCAAAAGGATGGACCGGATATAAATATGTAAAAGGAAGCCCGTAAAGTGATGATCATAGCCAAAAATATAACGAAAGCGAGACTCAGATTGTTTGGATATTCCCACTAACGTATTTAGTAGAGGCAATATCCGCCATGTAACAAAGAGAATCCTAAAATGGCAGGTAAAGGAAAATCATAAAAAGGCTAGATGGTTTACGTCGAGGATTACCTTCACAGGGAAAATATCAGGTTCGCGTGGCGTCAGTTTGACAAATCTTTCTGGATCCTTCATGAATTTCCGGTAGTGTTTGTCGCATGCCCAATAGTAATACATTTGATACTGGATCAAATTGGTCCTCAATGCTTTGGAGTCAGCTGGCCTGGACAAAAGGTTGTCTATCACCTTGCACACCGAACAGCTGTCCAGGTACAAGCTCATCTTTTGAGACCGTTCGCGTTTCGTGATCGGCAAGTTGGACAGACTGCAAACAGTGTTGTCGTACGTTCGTCTATGGTCAAGTATGAGCGAAATTCAATTTTAGAAAACGTACAAAACTAAAACTTATTTATCTATGAATGATTTTATATTACAAAAAAAAATCTATTATTTATTTTATAGCCTAGAGCAGCGGTTCCCCACTTTCTGGCCAGTGGTGCCCTTTTTTGGACTAAATTCAGCCGTGGTAACCTGCTGTGAATACCACGAGAGATATGAATAAAAAATTAACACTTTCACATTGATAATAACCAATTCAAATAATTTAATTGAACACCCACATTACATTAGGACACTGCAATGCGCAGTTTGGCAACCGCTATCTCAGAGATAATGTAAAAAAAAACTAAATAGGTTGAAAAGAAACTAGCCACAAACATATTGAAACGTTACCTAAGGTTTATATTACTTTTTCTATCTAATAATATTTTATACCAATATTTCTTATCTAAACAACACCGGTCAACCAATTTGTAAATTTGATTTGAGTCTGGGTTTTAGTCAAAATATTTTGATTTTAAATGTCAAGAAACATAAAAAAATATATAATTTGCTTCTTCAGACTTGTCTTTTGTGATTACGTGTGATCATTTTTTCAGGGTAATTATTTTTTTTTTGTATGATTATTGTAGCTCAGTAGTGCAATATAAAATTTTAACTTAATATTACTACTTCAATTCATTATATAATTTTTGTTGAAACAAGTGGAAAATTACTCATAAAATGTCAAATTTTAAGAAAGAAAGATAAAATAAAATCAGTTTTTTCGTTTAAATGAAATTAAATCATTAAATTATGTTTATCATAACTAAAAAATAATTCAAGCTTAATTTGTAACTTTTTCGTTAGCTTATATAGCTTTGTAAAAAAGTTGATCACATTCAAATTATTATTGCTGCATTTTAAAATTAAATTTTGAAAATTCAAGTTCATAGCGTTTATTGTAAGTCGTTTTTTTGACGAATAACTTCATTATTTTCAAACTAACCTTAAACAAATACATATACCCTACTGCCCAAACTACTAGGAAACGTAAATACAGTACTCTAAACCCAAAATCAAAACTCGTGTTGACTGGTGTGATCATTTAAATAATAACCACATATTATAATTTTTCGCTAAAGCGTGATAACGTTTCCATCTATTATCAATTATCAATTAACAATAATCATAGATATCTCTACTGTATCCGATTATCATATCAGATTTTTTTAAATATTTTATTTGGTTAAGAGTTATGACTTATCTGGTCGTATACCTTAATTAGTTATCAGTTATCTCTTATAAACTTAACTCTTTATATTTATATATAAATCGCTCTTATCTCTTCCAAGAGAAGCTCACCCTAGATCCAGAATAAACAAAAAGAAACTGTATAATTTTTAAACGGCCTCTTATGGGACGTGATAAAATCATATCCGACATCTTAAATATGATCGATAAATGGGCAGTGCTGATAGGTGTAGGGAAATTCTAATTTTTCGTTCATTCTGGCTAATCTGTTCACTTGACAAACGCGGAAAATGGTGACGACATTGTTGTCTGGGTACGATATTTAATAAATGAACAGTGTAGCCATAAGTCACAGAAAAATTAAAATCAAGGAAATAGCTGAATTCTTGTACCACTGGCTAAACCTCAATATGTCTGACCGTTTTTTTGTAAAGTTCTAAGGGACGGCGCCCACCAAAGTAACTCGTGACATATGTTATGATGAGTAAATGATAAGTGACAAAACATTCTCACTAAAATGACGTGATTTTTAGTCATATGATACATAAACCTATTTTTGCCTACTACTTAATTTCACCTGTTCCTTTAACTTCTTGGCTTATACTTTCCCAAGCTTGATTATGTATTGTTCTATTTGAATAGTCTGACTGGCGATGGTTATACAAACATTGACGACCCTCAACGAGTCCAACAAAATTAATATTAAACTCGGGATCGTCTTTTATAGTTTTAATTTACTTATTTAATAGTATAATGTTCGAATGTTATTTAAAAAAAATACACAGTATTGTTTCCAGAATTTTTTTTGGATTGTTATTAACAATTGTTGCGCTAGGAATGTGAAACGGCCCAAAACCTAGTTAAAACGACTAACACATACAAATTAACTATATAATAATAAATAATATATTAATAGCAAACCAAACAACGGCTTCTGATTGGTCGACTACTGACGGTGCCGCAGTCATCAGCTGAAGAACGAGCAACCGTCAGCAACCGAGCAACAATCAGACGACGACGCGAAAAAACGACCGAAGCCAACAACGACCGCTGTGCCTTCGAGGGATGTACCATCGGGTCATGGACCACGGAAGACCGTGACATATGACAAAAAGTAGTGCATGCGTTACTATTTTTTATGACAAGCAACGTACAAATAACACGTGATCTAACATGTTAGGTCGGTGGGCGCGATTATATGATTTTTCAATTTAACTTTAAATAAAATTACCTGAGTGACTTGTTACAATCAAATCACTTGTCATATCACATGTCATGTTACTAATCACGTTACTTTGGTGGGCGCCGTCCCTAATATTTCCATCTGTTTGTTCTATGCCTAGATCCCCATCCATCTTTCTTATCTCATATCAGCTTCCAGCACACAAAATGTATGTTAACAGTTATAATCTGCTGTACAGACTATAAATATTATCGCTTAAAAAATTATTCGAAAATTAACGTCAAACTTTGCCTGTGATATTCTTGCAGAGCTTCCAAGCATCGCATTGTCTCGGTTTCGATTTGTTCTAATCCACCATCCACTCGGGTTTCGTTGCCATATGTGTCGGCTATCCAAGAATAGCCGACGAAAGCGGCTTTCCATGCGTCGTACTTTCCCCTTAACGACGCTTCTGTCACCCTAATTCCAGGCTTGTGATTGGCTAGACACCGCCGGTACGAACGGTTTAGGACGAATATCTTATGTAGAATAATGCCGGATTTGTTGAGCAGTTCGAACTGCTTTTCGGTAATCGGAAATCCGTCGATCACGAACCCTCGAATGTTGGCCCGAGTTGTCTGCATGGCAAATTTCACGACTTCTATTAGCGCCGAGTCTTCTAACGTGTCACCCCGCAATAGCATGCGCTGCGTCCGTTTGACGTCCTCAACCCAGTGGTATGATTTCAAGTAAGTCTTGACGGCCTCTTCGATACGGATCAATTGGAATCCAAACTTGGCGCACAGACGACGGGCATAGTACGTCTTACCACTTTTCGGAGGTCCGACTATCGCCATTCTCAGTGCTACGCAAGGCGGAACCGAACAAGTCTGCAACAGATACTTGAGAGGACACTGACCGAACTTCTCGCGGTTGTCAGGTCCGCTCAGATAATAGACGTACTTGCGATGGACTACCGGTCGTAAGTGCCCGTCCAAATAATCCGTATAGAACCACTGTACGTTATCATTTTTTTCGTACAAACGGACCGGACACCAGCGACCGAACCGGCTCAAATACACTTCGCCGTTGCACAGCATTCGCTCAGCTAACTCGAAATCCACGTCGAACACGTTTTCGAAAACGTTTGAGTTACTCACTAAAACGCTGTCCAGCTTATTTATAATTTCATCGATTGGATCGTCCGCCTTCGCCGTAATCCAAGGAATATACGTTTCTTTGGCGAAACGATGCATGTCTGAAAACTCGTTGGACTCGGTTTCAAGATACCGTTGGACCATCTTATCCGTGGGTGGGTTAAATTCGTCGACGAACGATGTGGTCAATATGAAATTCTGCTTCGGCACTTTGGCGCAGATTATTTTATCGATGTGATCCAAAATCGTGAAATCTTCTATTCGGATCAAGTCTTCCACCGTCAAACTGTAATTGATGATAATTTTTTTCTGCCTTAACGTCATCTCCTGAATTCTAGCCGTAAAGTTAGACTCTGACGATGTGATCGGGGCTTTCTCATTTTTCTTGGCCAGTTGATCGCACACGAATTCCGTGGCGCCATGCCCTTTTATCACTTCTCCCGCAATTGCTATGATGACGTGTTCGATGCGCGATTTCACGGTGTCGTTGTCGTCGTTGTTCATGTATTCGTTTAGCTGGGTTTTAAAAAGTTTGGATTTGGCTTGCGAATATTTCCATCTGGCGGCGGCGTCCTTTTCGATGATTTTTTCAAATACCGCAGCTTGGTAGGATAACCAATTTTCCGCGACCTTATCTTTGGTTTCTATGTGATGCGCATCTAAGTCTCGTGTCACGTTGACTATGACGTCAGGCGTTACTTCATTGTCTTTCAAGTACATGAGTTCCATCGTGTTGCGAGGATAGTTTATGTAGCAAATGCTTTCGTCGATTTGATAGAACACCGAGTTTATTTTCTGCCAATCGGTGTCGCTCAAGTACGCGCTCTTCAAATCCATATACTTTCTGATTTTATTTACGTTGTCTGTCAGAGTCGGGTTGCCTTTGATCAAATATTTGTCCATGATTTTTCGCAACGTGGGTTCTTCAAACATCTCACCGAGCATCGGCATGCCTTTAGGTACAATTTTTCGTTTGAATACCGAATAAAACTCCACCACGCTCATGTCAAAGTGCTTTGTTATTTCGTCAACCACGTTTGTCGTTTTCAGGCCAAACGGCAAGAGTAAGGATATTTTTGGTTTAGGAAACTTGTCTAGATGACTAGAAAACGATGCATACTTGCGAGGGTTCAATATAAACTGATGTAATGCTTCATCAGAGCTCATATAATAGTATCTGTTTTGGTAAATTGCTCTGTATTTTTTCAATCCTACAACGAATTTACCTTTAACGAGTTGGACCGGGCAGTAAATGGAAGTATCTCCGTTGTATTGCATGATTTCAGGCCTCGATTTTGCCTTATCCAATACAGGGGCCGGAATGGCGCGGTTCGACAAAAATCTAAAAGAATATTATTATACTATTTAGCTACTATCTAAAAATTAGTGTTGTTAAATAACTAGCTCCGAATAAACGAGTTCGTGGAATTAGTTATTCGTTTTGGACAACAAATTATATAATTTGTTCATAAACTATAATAAACAAGATAGTTTTTTTTAATCGAATAAAAACGAGAAGATTTGGTCTTACTGATAAGATGTGATTTTTTTTATGAAGCTAAAAACATATTCATGCATTACCATGTTTTGCTTTAGTTCATTTTCTAACGAGTAAACGAAGGTATAAATCTTTTTTTGAACGAAAAAGAAAACTAATTCCTTTTTTTTATAAAAGGAACGTTAAAAACCCTGTTAAAAATAGATGTACTATTTATCAGATGTAATGTTGTGTACCTCTTAACGTTGTACAAAGTGTCTTCGATCAAATGTTTAAACACGTCTAATTCCTTGTCGGCAGATTTGACATGGACAACGCTAAAATCCTTGTACCGTCTGCCTTCGTCCGAAACTTCAGACGTGAAACAATACCACTTTTTGAGGTAGTCCGCTGTATATTGATTTAACCGTTCTATTATTTCGGGCATGATTGCTGCCATAATAGCGTCGTGGCTTAGGTTGTTGTATTCATTAGATATCTCGTTTTCGTGTATGTTTTCATAACGCGAATTTTTGAGTTCATATTCTTCGTAATAATAGTTTTCATTTTCTTCTTCTTCGATATAACTGGCGTTGTCTTCGATACTGGTGACGAATTGCGAGTACGGTTTTCGGTCGGGCAAAGTGGCGTCGTAAACCGGACCATTCTTAACACCTTCGAAAATTGTCCAATGAGTGATCTCCATTTTCCTACTCGTCGATTCGTCGATCATCAAAAATTTATGCAACGGGTCAATATCGTTGAAAAACATTATCTGGCTGGGATAAAATTCAGCCGTTTTTAACTTGTCAATAAACGACGATTCCATTGGGGCATTAATCATAATCCAATTACGGTATTGTTCTCTTCTCGCACGCAAATCGTTGGCCAGATAAGTAATTATGTCGAATCGAGTAACTTTATTTTCTTTTAAATAGTTTTCCCTGAACTCTCGGCGCCTATCCGGAGGCATAAGTGGGAAATATTTTTGCAACCTTTCTGGTTCGTTGTGTGCTTGAATGCATGCATCTAAATCATCGATAAAATCCATTCCGTACGATTCAAACATGGTTCGAAGTTGAAACAAGTCGTTATCATAGTTGCACTTAGAATATGAGTCTAGAAGCATAAAAAAAAATACAAATGTAGACATAATTTCAAATTTTCAATTTTTGACTAGAATAATACGTTATATTAGACGAGTATTTCCTAATGAATTTTGTCCACACTAGTCTAGAAGTAATAAGGTAAGTTCAAGAAACTAGAATTAGAGGATTTTAGTTAGGCTACGAAAAATTAGGTTACAAACCGATAGGCATGGATTGAAGTTCCTAAATAATTTTTAAATGATACGGACGTTGGGATAAACTTCTCCTGGCACCTGGGATAAAAAATTTTGATTTCAACTATAAATTTAGGATTACAAAAATGTACAAACTAATAACAATAATTTTGCATTACAAATTTAACTGTGTAATGCCAAGCTAAGTGACTTAGCTTGGTATTAACATGAAAAATTTTCATGTTAATACCACTTTAGACAGTTATTAAAAAATTACCGTCTTCTGAAAGACATTCTTCCCCTTCAGTTCGTTGTTCAATTAACAATTCGGCCTCATCAGCCGCCTCATGCAAATCTTCATTGTCGGTCGTATCGAAATTCAATTTTATCCATTTGCCGATAGCCATTTGCATTATCTCGACACCTTTTATTCGGTTGGATTTTATTCTTAGCTCTTCGCTAATGGATTTTATCATAGAATTGACGATGTAGAAAATGTACTGCTTCTGTAACGTTTCTTCCGACGTTTCTGTAATTTGCTTCACGTCGATGAGTTTATATTTGAAAAACTTGCAAGCCCCCCTGGCCGCGGGGCCCGCTAATGCTTCCGGGCCATAAAATATGGCTTTTATGGACATACACGGTCTTGGGATTTCAAGGAACTGCCGTGGAAATTTTTGAAATAATTTAACTTCGTCGATGCCCGCAAAATAATACAGTTTTCCCATGTACTCAATGGTGTAACGTTTATTTCCCTTTACCAGAAAACCGTTGCTATAGTTGACCGGACACAGAACACCGTATTCGGACATTTTACGCAAACTTTCTTCATTTTCATCCTCTTTGATGTTTACATTATCTATTCCTTCGTCGTACTCGTAAAGCATTTCTAAACTGTCTTCTGCTCTGGTCCTCATCCCATACGAAAGTGATTCTGCGTCGGCTTCGTATTCAAATCGATCCATTGCACTACTTCCCGAAATCGAAGCGTCTTCCTTAAAAATAAATTTCGGAATTGGAGTCCGTTGAAGGGGCAGAGTCAGCAATTTCGCCTTGACCGTTTCGAATATAACTTCAACGGGTAGCCTTCCATCCATAGTTATCACGAACTGTTGGTCAAAACGTTTAATGGCATCCTCGATGACTTCAAGTAAGAATTTTTGGTAAATATGTATGTCCATCCGGGATTTGTGTGAAAATAAATTGTTCCACATGATATCTTTGCCGTAATTGAGGTCGGTGTCTCCAATAGAAAATCGATTTTCCCTGAAACATCTACGTTCAATTAATTTCAATTCCATTTCCTCATGATATGTGGCTATATCGTCATTAGGAAAACTCAAATAGATCAAAACGTCCGGTGGGTTGAAGAAAAACAAAGAATCCATCTGCGATTTAGGATTTAGTTCCGAATCGAACCTAAAACATAAATTACACATTATATATTTAAACATTTGTCCTTGATATAATTCAAACTGTTTTTTAATTTTATCAATTAATTCTTATCAGTTATTCAGAAATTATCGTTACCTTTATCTCCACCGTCCCATACCCACCCCGGCTCATTCCCTTATCATACTACCATTCCATCCCCTCTTCCGTCAATCGTAAAATTATCTTTTGCCAACATGTAGTGTACCCTAATTCTTATTTACATTATAACGTAGTGTATGGGATTCACTATAATATGTGCTTACAATAAGCTATATTAAATGCTGAACAATAGCTTTTGTTATATTTGTCTGTGTAATGGACCCCGAATATTTTATACCGAAAAATCATGCAAAGGCATGCGGAGAAGCCAGGATGTGCCCAGCAAATTACTTGGGAAATCCAGTCAGCACGTAGCCACGTTCGATGACGACTGGACTGTTAATTCCCAACACGTCGAACAGATCGGAACGCACGTTGATTATTTCGCCTCTTCGCAATGCTCCGTTTTTTTCAGGGTCCAGTTGGACTCGGCCGTTCAGGCCGTTGGCTATGGACAAATGCACGCACCCCCAGTAAGCGGACAACATGCCTGCCAGCTTTTCTTCTTGCAGCCTGGACTTTCCCAGGATAGCGAAAGACACGGGCTTTCTTTGCATGGCCACGGCGTCGGCGTCTTCACAGGAATACGAATCCGCGTACTCGTCCGTTGGCCTGTACCTTGTCGTTATCGGCAACTGGTAGTTCATGTCCACGTCCAAATGACGGTTCCAATGCGCCTTTTCAGTTAGTCCATAGAAAAACGCGGCCCGGGGAAACCAATTGGATTGCCGCGATTTTGTTTTTACCTCCTGCGCTGACCATTTGTACAACTTCGGTGGTTCCACGTTGACACACGTTGTCGGGTCCTGCGAAAAGAAGAACCCCACGTGAGTTTCCTACGCGTAATCGGCTATATCGAAAAAACCGAGGGTTGTCAAAAACATGCGTCCGTGGCAGAGACGGTACTGATTAGTGATTCAGACTATGCTGAAAGTATTTAAATCTTGGATACCGGTATTTTCGGTAAACTTGGTAATAGTCATAGAGTAAAAATATATAGAGCTGCAACTCATATAATGTTCAATACTGAGAAATGATGTTGTCGAGAAGACACACTGAACTCAATATGTTAACATGTATATATTTTATGGCTGGGAGTCAATACAAAAATCTGTGCATGACGCTAGCGTTACCGTAGAAGATATGTAAGTGGGGCGCGATCTAGCGGTTGTTTTTTGAATGAAAGAACCGATAAGCAATTATTAGATAAGATATGAGAGATACTAGATTAGAAAAAAATAGAGATAATGTAAAGCTGTTGTAAAGGGATGGGTATGGGCTTGAGGTCAATAGCTTGACGAGAGACTTCGAATACAACTAAATTCGTCTTTTTAAGTTGTTTAACATAGCACAGTGTAAGCATTATGAATACTCAGATCATTTAAAATAAATGTAGCTACTATCTGTCTTAAAGTGTGTCCAAAATAAATCCCCTTTTAGCTTCGGTGCGGAGCTGAGAAGGTATTGTTTTTACAATGATGTGTTTATTATTATTATTTTTTTTTTTGTGTCTGGACCAACGATATCTCGTATAAACCGCTAAAAAGATTTCTTCGTGTAGCAACTATATAAATCAGAAATCATACCAGGAAGGTACTTTATAAGGCCAAACATTTAAAAAAGTCACCCCTTCCCCATCAAAATCGAGAAAAACACCCAACACATTTACAAATTTATCAACTTAAAATTACGATGCTCTATAACTTTTTTAAAAATAGTCAAAAAAGTTATAATAAAATCTGTAAACCTGTGACCTCTCTGTTCCCACTATGCCCCGACCCCACTGTACTGGCTTTTTTATTATAATACAAGCTGTCCGGACCCGGCGTTGCCCGAGATTTAGTCTGCAGTACTGAGTAAAATAATTCCCATTCTCCCATTCTCACCCCTAACCCCACCGAACTAACTATTTTCAGTTATGTAATACAACGGTTAGAATAAAACAATAGGTCCTCATCTACCTGATGATAACGTCAATACTTTTTGTACTATAAAAATGTTTTTCTCTCGTATTTTTGGTTTAATTTTATTTAGATCATAAAATTGTTTTGGAATCTTTTTGATGGCAAAATATAATTTATTCCAAAACGGTGTTTTTTAGCGTTTTTTTTTCACTTACTATGCAGCGAAGATTTGATGTGTCATCGTCACAGCCTCTACCGTCGTGCCTGTTGACGGTCATATTAATCTCAAGTCCTCTTAGGACATTTTATAAAAATGAAAAAAAGACAAAATTTAGAAATCTAGTAAAAAAATGACTCGCTAAAGTACTATACAAAAAAAAAAATTATAAAGAACATTTTGAGCCCTAGAAAACAGCGGTTTTTGTTTGTTTTCACAAAAAAGTCACATACGGTCGTCATAGATATATATAGGTATTTATAAAAATTATTGTATGTATGTATTTATGTTTTTTATAGTCGTCTAAACAGCTACACTTATTTCGATCAATGTTTTTACATATATTATTTGGATTCTCGAAAGAAACACTACGGGGGGTAAGGAACTTATGGTTAGGTTACACATAAAAATACGGAAATCGTTATAAAAATAGGTTTATCACCAAGGCATCATAATCCAACGGTGAGACAATATATTGCAGCGTTTTCTTGAAACGCATCGTTGTATGATACATTTCAGTATATTCTCCGATTCCCGTACGGTAAAGAGGGCTACCAATTTCTCTTCATTATGCTGAATCAGAACTAAAACCAATAACTTAAGAATATATTCCTCTGAGAGATTCTGTGGAAAACGGTGGCAATGTCTAAGACCTTTAGACAACTATAATCATCCGTCTTTCGAATTATACAGAGGCACGTCCATGAATATACACAGGATGCTTAACTTATGTCAGAAAGTACGGACGGTCGGAACTGTTACCACTGTCACCTGTAACTGGTTGGACCAGAGTGTTCCGACAAAACCAATTTAAATTAATTGATGGGACAACAAAAAGACATAATATGGCATGCCACCATTCTGTATGTATACAATTAAATACCAGAAGGTAAAAATGGGGACTACCCTCCTACTCACAACACACATTGATGACAAAAAGCAGATCCCGGCATTTATACAATTGTGAGCTAGACCATGATCTATGAACCGTGTGGACATCTCAAATATTAAAAATGTTGTCGTACTATACAGGATGATGAACTGCATGATAGATTATAAATATAAATAAACTATAATATGATTTTAAATTATTATAGCGTACGCAGTATATTATATTTATAATAAGTAGGTATTAAATTATTGTTAATTATTATTTGTATTTATTATTGATGTGTAAGTATTGCAAGTTAAAACAAAACAATCAATCTTATAAAAAAATCGAAATTAAAGCTAGGGCCTGGCTAAGGCCGAAGAGCTAACATAGTTTGTATCTATGTAGTCCATACTAAGTAGTAAAGTAAGACGCTCTTACCGAAAATTCTTACCTTCAACGCAAAAAATTAATCAACATTGGAACTATATGCTTTCCCATTTCAGACTTCAAGAAAGGAAATAGTTCCATTCCTCGTTCTTAAAAAAAAACATTTTTCGTTCATAGATCATTTTAAAATTTGATTAGTTTTATTTAATTAGGTACGTACTGCAGTTTTGTTTTTCATGTTTTTAATTTATTTATTTCATACAGAATATTGCGTAGTTAATTTATACATATATGCTTTATTTTTATTTATTTTATACGCGATAGGCCCGTTTAAAAAAATAATTAATAATATAAATATATTGTTTTAATATGAAGTAAAATATAATAAAAAAACCTAGGTAAATTTTTATACTTTTTTTTTGTGAAATTTTAATATATTATTGACTCCATAAACGCCTCATTTCCTTAGGACAAACTAAAAAATAAAAAATTAATACATTTTTTTTAAATAATAATAAAAAAAGTTTGTTTTATTCAAACACGTAGGTACAATTTTAAAAATATATTCCAACCAAAAAAATATAGATTAATAATGATGAATAATTTAACAAATAAAAAAATATTTAAATTTGATAATATTACTTGTACCGACAGTAAACTAATAAACATTATGCATTGTTCATACAAAAATAAACAAAATTCCAATATGTTTCTTCGCATGAAAAATCCTGAAAACGAGTTCCTTTCAAGCAAACTACAAACCTAATGCCCATAATTTTAATTTGCTAAACTTTAAATTACGTTATTGATTCTATTTTAACGTAACATCCGTCGGCAAATTTCAATGTACCCAAAAACTTTATACCTAGGTGCTGTGGCTCAGGACAATTGTCGGACGGCAAAAATTTGTAAGCCCTTAGTAATGTGGATACGATGACTTTCATTTGAAGCATCGCGTACTTAATTCCTATGCAGTCTCTAAAACCGGCACTGAATGGAATAAACGAATAGGGCGGGCGGCTCCGAAATGCTTCCGGCAGGAAGTTGTCTGGGTTAAACGCTTCCGGTTCCGGATAGAGTTCGGGGTTTAAATGTAGATGTGGAATGAAAATTAGTATAGTCGAACCTTGAGCAACGTACAAAATCAAGAAAATCATCATTAGATAAACAGTTCAATCAAATATATCTGACTTTTTTACCCGCAGGAATTAAAGTGTCTCCTATGGTAACCTCCTCTTCGGCGTGTTTGGCGTGTAATGGCCCAGGTGGGTAAAGTCGCAGAGTTTCTTTGATCACGCGGTCTAAGTAGTACATTTGCTGCAAATCCTCATACGTCGGTGATCGGTTTGTATCGTCAGATGAAAATATCGTACTTATTTCTTCGTAAACCTTTTTTATTTTTAATGAAAAAAGTATATTTTGATGAATAATATTGTTGGTTTTTAGTATGCAATATGATATATAATTATATAAACATTATTAGAAAAAAATGTGAAGGTACGAGAAGGCATATTGTGCAAACGAAAATAAATCTACTGGATAACTAATCAACTATAATTACTTTATTTTGTACATCTTGATGATGAGCTAACATGAATATAATGCACGCGTTTGATACAGCTGTAGTGTCTTGACCGCCTTAAACACAATTCAAAAAATGTATGAAACATTTAAATAAATATGTTATTATATAAATATATATAAAAAATATTTAAAAAAAATTAACTTTACCATATTGAAAGAATTAAAATAACGTACCAGCTATAACAGTTACTAATTCGGCTCGTATCTCGTGGAACGGCATTGGTTGATCGTTCGCAAGCAAAATTTCAATGAGTGATTTAGGTTTCCCGGTTTTGTCACTTTTGTCATGTTCGACTGTGTCGACATTTTTCGATTTTGCTATTATTTCGGAAATTAAATCGTTTATCAGTTTAATCAATAGGCTTTGACTCTCATCGTGTGTGCGTTTCAACGATGACAGCCGAAACAAACTTGGTTTCAGTAACCACGGATATGACATTCTGTGTTCCCAAACCTGAAATAATTATAAAGTTTATTTAAAAAAGCGCTATACCACAATGTGTTACACTTTTCTCATTAATTCTGGTAATGGTTTTAGTTAGTATGTAAAAACAGTTTTAGAGGATGATGTAATTTCAACTGACGAGAGTACAAAGTTTTTAAATGGAACGGAAAGCGTTATTTATTAAGAAGCAAAGGATAAACCATAATTGATAAAAATTGTTCTAGTAGCTATTTTTAATATGCCGACTAATTTCAAATTAAAATTTGGTCTTTTAGCCTCGATAGAGTAAATAGTAAACAATGTAATAAAAACATTTATTTGACAAAGTTAAATACCTAATACTACATTTTTCATATTTTTTAGTATACTCCAGAGATCGTTTAACCTTTTAAAACTTAAATGATAAAGTACATACCTATTTGATTAAATTTTTGAATTAAAAATCATTTTATAGATAAATAAATTAATAACTTGCTGAAAATGTTGCACACAGATAAAATATTACAACAAACCACCCTTCTTATAGTCCTAAATTTGAAACTTTTATTACTTCAAAAATTATTATTCATAGCTGGTTATCGACCAGTCAAAACTGCAAGGAAATTATTTGTAATTTAAAAAGATAATTAAATATAACCGTTTCCATTCAAGTTTCAAAAGTTGATAGCGCTCTAGAATATATTCTTAAAAAAGGTAAACGTAATTATTTAATATTGTAAAATAGTAATAACATTAAAGAATATATTTTTCAAAAAAAAAAAACTATAGAATAACATTTATTTTAACAAAAATTGTGAGTTTTATCCTTAATGAATCATTCTCTACGTTTTCGGTTATATATTCACATATTATATATTACTATATACCTGACAGTTAATCTAATCTAATATACCTCTTGCTACTTAAATTGTATATACATTCTTGTAAAATATAATATATTCAAACATACCTCTTGTATGACTTCCAAATTTTCTAAAAAAAATGTATCAGTATTTTTCTGATCACTTAGTTGTATGCCTAGAGTAGTTCTTCCAATAATTTTCATTGTAGCCATTGCAACTGCTTTACTTATTTTACATTGGTGAGATATTTTTTCACGTTTCTCATACAATAATCTACCAAGAGTGTTTGCTTCTTCGTAAAAAAGTTGTATGTACGATTTAAGAGTGGAAAATTTAAATCCTTCCAATATTATCTTTCTAAAAATATATTGTATATAAATATCAATGATTCTACTTCATGGTGAAGTAAATAATGTTATACATACCTGTTATGTTTCCATTCGTCGTAGTTGTCATTAAAAAATATACCTTGACCGAGCCCAAAAGATTCGTGAAAAACTGAATAGTGTTTTGACTTTTTAAACAGCTCTTTATTAGTAAGTACTTGCCCTATTTCTTCGGGTCTGATGACGCTAATGAATAGGTCGTCTAAAATCCAAATTTTGAATAGAGATTTTCCATATCTACAACGAATTAATCCTATTGTTGAATTTCATTGGACTTAACAAGTCTGTATAATGTAATCTCTTAATATGTATTGCTATTATAATATTAGGCGTCGTTAAACAATTGTTTTAAATTTGTTAAAAATTAATTTTTTTTGTCTGATCTGTATTTTTTATAGAATACCCGGTGCCAATTTATTTTCACTACTGCATTGAAGCTTAAATAACTTTACATACTATACTGAAACACGATCACATAAAATTATTTTATATTCACTTACTTTTTGTGCAATTTAAGAAGGTTTGCCAACAATTTGTTTGGTCCTTGAATGCCAACTGATAACAACTCAACATGGACGATAATCCACAAGGCCCAGGTATTCGATTGGCCAATGTAATTTTTCTTCGATTTTAATTTTTTTAAAGATTATCATCAATGAAATAACTACTAGTATCGTTATTCCGTAAACGAGCAATGTGGTATTCATTTTTATCTTTTAATTAAAATCGCAAAATTATTAATAATTCATATTTATTCATTAAAACTAGCATTAGATCATCTATTGTCCAATACCTATAGATAAGAACACTTACTATTGAAATGTTGTCAAAAAGATAGAACAGTATGCTTATTGTTAATACTACAATTTATATTTGTAGCAAATAACAAAAGACACAGTATGGTTAGGTACAGAAAAAATCGGCAATTGTTAAGTTTAATAGTTATTTAATCAATGTAATACCCGTCGGCTGAGAAGCTTGAAAGGTATTGTACATTCAATATGTTTAATAAGTTACTGAATTTTGTAATGCACATTATTAGGTATCTACCGATATTAAATACTTAACCGCTGTTCACTAATTAACTTTTTTAACAATTGTTACAAAAAAATTAATAAACTTACTAAATAATTTGTTTTTTTCTCTAAAATTCTATTGTTTAACGATAACCTTATTTCGCTCATAAAACAACTACTGGGATTATATATAATATGTGCAAAGTATACTACTATCCAGTAGAATATAAATAATTTTGATTAACATAAAATACAATGCAACGTTCATTTTTATGGCAAATTAATTATGACAGTATAATAAATTACTAGTTATGCTGATAATTACACAATAAATTTATGCAATAGTGTAGGTAATATGTTTTTGTATTTTGGCCACAAAAAAATGTAAAAAATGTACGTCATCTTAAACTTAACCGCTAGATCGCGCAACACGCACAAATTTTGCTTTTTGTAAACTTTTCTATAAGCGTCTTGACCGATGAAGTGAACTTGGCAAACGCCTAGCGTTTATTACCCACGTTACCTGAAAAAAGTATTAGGGTATTTTTAATATTATACAATTTTTTAACTACAAGTGTTCTATTAAAATTATAATGACCATTTGTTTGCAACACACGACTGAGTTATGATGTCGTTTTAAACAAATCCTAGCGGCCACCACACGAGTATTGTTGTATTTAAAACATAATACATAGGTATTATTGTATTTAGTCACATAATGTTCATTGACAAATTTATTTCAAATTGAGTATTTCTAAATACATCTTCGAGTTTCGTATTTAAGTTATACTCAATTGCGTTTTTACTTTTAAAAAGTATGTAGGTAAAATAGTCTATATTAGACAGTAAATTCTCTCTCAAGTTTGTAAAGAAAAATAATGTTTCTAAAACATACTTGCATGTTTTATAAAAAGTAAAAAAAAGTGTTCATTCATAAAATTGTAATGAATTTATAATTGTTTTTAGGCAATAATATTAGTATTTGAGCCGTAGACTAAAAAAAAACATTATTATTTAGTAATAAATAATATTGTTTATTACATAAAATTCAATTTTTTTTATTCAATCAAAATGTAAAAGTGTGAAAAAACATAATGCCATTCCATTACATTACATAAATTTAATGAACTTTTATGTCTTCAACTATAAATCTCTGTCTTCCAAGTGTGTACAAAGTATGTAGGTTAATATTTATTTGGTATTGCTACAGCACAATTCCCCTCAAAAAAAAAAAACAGATATACTAGTGCAAATGGGCACAAATGTCATATCATAATATATTTTTTAAGAAATTATAAGTTATCTAGTTAATTGTCAATTTCTCGAGTTCTATACCCATCGACTTGATGACCAGCTCTCCGTAAAAAACTTTGAATACATCCTTCTATATAGTCATTTATCATTTATTTTCAATGATCTCTGTTGGATCTAGAATAATTTAATTTTAATAGGTACATTCAAATAATAAAGCTAAACCATATTCCAAATTATTACACACACTAAGGTTTCTAACAAGTGCTATACTATTCTTATTGAAACACCAACACGGATCTGCAATTTTATAAAAATAAATCATAGACTAAATCAAGTTCTAAGATATTAATCATTCTGAGGTTGCTCCAAGCTTGCTTAAATTTAACCTCGCTTTGAATTTTTGAAAAACCTCTATTCATCTATAAAAAGATTAAATAGATTAATATCAGTTCTACCGTTGATTAAAAATATCTTGGCTAATAGCAATAAGATTTGTTTTTGATAGAAAATTATTTTGAAACTAAGTTTCTTTTAGCAGGTTGCGTGGTGGGGCTAACGCGTGAAAAATGTAGCACCACGAAAATATATATACAAACAAATCATCAGATTAGCGCATTTCAGTAGTTCAGTAAATATGTCCCTGGATATAGACAACCGAACGTACAGTTCAGTTAAATAGGCCTTCCCGTTTCCGAGTGAAAAAAAATATGAAAAACTTTAAATTAAATTTGTTTATCAAAAACAAAAAAGTCTATTAGGTCATATTTTTTATAATTTAAGTAGGTAAACATAAAAAAAACCCATTACAGGGGCCGGGGCATAATGGGGACGGGAAGGTCCATTTTACTTGAATTTTGTCCAAACCAAGCACAGTGTTAACCAGCAAAGTTAGAAATTATTAAATTGAGGTTCTGTACTTACAAATAAGCATCAGAGTTTATTTGAAAGTGATTCTATAACTTTCATTTATAATAATTCCTGTAGACCTGTAACCTCTATGCTCAGATTCCATTATGCCTATAAACTACTGTACCACTCGTTTCGGATAAAATCACTTTCAAATTTTACCGAGCATTTCCATAATATAAATAAAACTTTTGTATGCTAATAATTTGCAGTTCATTTTTTTATTCATTTCGATTTAAATAACTGAATTGAAAAAAATAAACTTGAGTTAACCATTAAAGGTTTATTATGAATTTCCTTTAGAAAAAAATTGTTTTACATCCAAATTTGTAATTATTTTTAATATTAACACTAAGCTCAAATAATTATCATGTTTTTAAAAATTCTAATATAATATGTAAAATGTTTTGTATCATTAAAAAAAACCTTATTAAATGTTTTTGGGTTTGTTTTTCATGCAGTTTTCTACAAAAAAAAAAAAATTACAATTTTGCTTGTTTTATATGCGATTAAATAGAAAATATTTTGTTCTGTTGACACATTATTTTTTTAATGATTCTAATAGTTATACAGTTACAATCCTAATAAATTAAATTACAATTTAATTATACATTATAATACAGAAATTAAAAAATAACAATAATACTGCACAGGTTTGACTAGACAATATTTTCCACTAATTATTCGAAAATTCAATAAACCATACAAAAAACGATTATTAAGTACTTATATAAAACAATTAAATTAATTACGCAATAAACAAATAGGAACAAAAAGATTTGTAATAGGTAGGTAACTTAAAAAAATAATCATAATTAAATGGCTAAAATATATAAAAGAGCTAATGTAACTTTCAAATGAATGCACAGCAGTTGAGTAGTGTAGAGTAAAATTTACATTTGTCTGTTGGTAGCGGTACGACTCGCGGGCACTTTTATGTAGATTATTTTCTTCGGTCTGGCATCGTTGGTCATTTGCAAAAATTCATTTTGGTCTTCCCATCTTCTTCTTTCGCGCGCTTCGTTCACGCGCTTGTGGTCCAACCAATTGATTATACACGAAGCCGGCACCCATATTAAACCGGTCACCAAAATGACCGTGCCGACAATGTTGTCTTTTAGGAATCTCAACAATTTGTTAATGTTAATCTCTTCAATGATGTCCCAAAAACGTTCGACGACATCTTGAATAGTCTTTTCGCAAACGCCCTGTAAAAAATTGTCGAGTTAGATCAGTTTAGGCATAAGAAATATTGTATTGTTAATTTTCTATTACTCTGTTACAGAATCCTTGAATACAAGGCGTCCCATCGGGTAACACATCAGGTGGATCGACAGGATAGCATGTGTCGTTCAAATTGATCCGGCAGCACCGTTTACAAGAGTGCAAAACTAAACGAAAATAAATAAATAAATTAACAATCATTCTTGTTTTATCAAATCAAAAACCTTATTGACGGATAAGGAAACCAATATATTACATTAGAGTAACGCTATTTATTAAAAGTAATTCTATTTAAACATAATATTATTGACAACTAAAATGTATAATTTAAATGCACAATTTGATGGCACTATTTTTAATAAAAATTATTTTAAAGGATAGTGTATGATGATATCTATCATATTATCATATTCTAATATTTCATTACTAGCCGATGACGGTAAATTATTTAAACAAGTTACCTAAATTTTCGATCGAATGGCATTACAGAATGATTTGGATAATTTTAATGATTGGTTGGTAAGGTTTTAATAACTAGATTTGTTTTGGCTGAATTAACCTATTATCGGCGCGGCGCCTTTAATAGTTATTATTTTTTATCATCAGCGCTTGAGTGTAATTTTTTTATTATTTATTATTTCACTAATTATTTTAATATGAGTGGCTACTAATATATTTCCATAGCAATACAGAATATATAATTAGTGTCAATTAACAATAAGTTAAAGATAATTCTATTAAAGTAGTTTCATTATGAATTCTAATGCTAAACGTTAAACTAATTAGTTAGTTTCTTGTTCATATAACTCTCAAAAAAATATTTATTATTATTTATTTAATATGAGTTACATTATGCAGGGCCCTGCAAAATAAAATGCAGGAAAACAACACACAATTCAGTGATTCAAGCCAAAGGTTAGTTTTTTAATAATAATAAAATAAAGTAATATAATAGAAAATGTCGAGAGCGACATAGAGAAGAAATCATCTGCGGAAAAGAGAATCCTGGCAACGAAATGTACAACAAATCACTGAATTAATACCTGATTACCAACCAAATGATAATTGTTCAAATTTAGATATAATACAAGAGATCACACAAAATTTCAAAAGTGGCTCACAACAACATACAAATTGTATTTTATTTTATACCAATAAATTGTTATATTTGTTTTAGACCTGAAAGAGATCTAATATAGGTAAACAAAGCATAGAACTCAAACAAAGTTATCGGAATTCATTTGTCACCTAGTTAAAAGTATATTTTATAATCATTTTAATGATTGATATTTTAGCAGAAAATCAAAATACATCCACAAAAATGTTATTAATATGTTTCCTGAACATTTAAAAACTATTATTCAAATATTTAGTAGTTGTCATTGCATAGTTTTTATCATACACCATTGTAACGTTTTAGAAAAATTAAAGTGATGATCATTTCTACTTTTATATACTGTTTTTTTTAATACATTTGCAAATTACTTTAATACGGGTCACATAAAAAAATAATAAATTTAATGAGTTCATTAAAATTTAAAGGACCAATCACAGGCCACTAAATTATGTTTTAAGTAACTACTAAACATCTATTGATTCATTAAATCTTTAATAAACCTGCCATAATTTCTTTAAAGGCTATCCGTAATAATTCAAATAATTATTGTATACTAGCTGTTACACCTGGCCTTGCCTGGTTACGCATTTAAGTACTTGAATTGTAATTTAAATACTTAACAGTGTTTGTACTTAAATACTTTATTTACAACACTGTCAATTATCTGAATTGTTATTATATCACTATCTAAACGTTTTATTTTCTCAGCAACCTCCTTACTTGTATCGCACATGCAACTTTGTAGGCCTTGCGTTTCACAATATGGTATACATTTGCCCGAGCGGCATTTGCCCCGTTCCAAACATCCAGTGCCGTCCGCCATAGCTGGGCTCTTTGGACATTCGGGACCGGTTCCCGTACAACGTGATTCCTGTTCGCAAGTAGCAAATTGTCCTTCGCGACACTTCACTCCGGACGCCATGAATTGACAGTTTTGGCAGCAAGGCGAGTTTTTGTCACTGGAAAAGTGACATATTACAATTAATATCATTATACATACATACAGTTGTCATATGTGTATAATTACCTGCACCGAGCTCCTTGTGCTCTCCTCAGCTTGCAATTTTTGTCACAACATGAATCGTTGTCTTCTGTACCCAACAGCCCAGCATCACATTCTTCGTTGCCTTCGACCCTGAGATTACCACAAAAAGATTCTTCCGGTTCGGAAAAACAACGTTCCGATTTCGCTTGCAATACTTTTCGTATAGACCGCAAGCTACATGGAGAAAATCTCTGTAAAAAAAAAATATATATATATAGTTAATTTCTAAAAAAAGCCAACATAGTGAGACATGCTGTTTTTTCGCCTATGCATCAGATTTAGAACGTTTTTCGATTAAAAAGTATTATTAATATTACTAACCTTGTTGTTAATATCATATCCGCTAACGCTGTATGTATACATGAGGAACGATCCGCCTTGGCTAGCCGTTGGACTGCATTCGCTGATGTCTGGATCGTGTTCAGAACCCCAGTTGTGACCAAACTCGTGAGCCGTTACCAAATCCGCTTCCCTCGTAATGACCCGTTGGCCATAATGATTACGACTCGAACTGAGACCAGAGTTTAGGTACAGTGTGTATCCGTTTTTGAAATACTCTATAGTATAAATTTTGAAATATGTATAAAATATCGGTAACGGCGCTTTTTAAAATCTTAAATGCAAATATACGGCGTCACCTGGTGTGCAAATCCCTCCGACCGAGTTACGTCTGGGTGACCCGACGTAGGCCAGACCCAAAATACCACCTTCAAATTTTAAGTCGGTAAATAAATGCGCTAAGCAGAAGTCTTTATGGCTATATTCTCTGCTAAACACCTGATACCGGCCAAAGCAAATACACAAGTATTTATACACATTAGTTAATCACCACATGCAAAGCATAGTTAAAATATAATGATACAAGAAATATCATATTTGTTATTGTTCAACAAACACTTTTCCGTCACCGATCAATTAAAACTATACCAACTTTTTAACATTAGGTAAAAAATAAGTGCAGCATTAACTTTGACCATAATAATATTAACTGTTATTTGTGTTTTATTAATCAAATGAAGCACATTAATTGCTGTTGTTAGGTTAGGTAGTTAATAGTTACGGTGATACATATTTAACTTAAGTAATTAATATTTTCATTTAAAAAACAACTTGTAAAAAATCATTTACCTGATCCGTTTATGAGCCAATACAAAAAAATCAATGTTCGTTATATGAGCATCATACCATACATTTTTTAATATTTCATAAGCATTGCGTGAGTTGGTCAAGAGAGCCGTGAAGTTATAGATTTACGTTTACTGAAGTGGAGAATTTAGGGAAACAGAAAGCGCAAGATTTATACGCATAACGGCTAAAATGCAAAGTCACTTTCGAAATGTCTACTGTACATATTTCAAAAAATGTTTTTATTACACTGTTTACTATGTTCTTTTTACTTTTTTTCTAATAAATCTAATTTTCGAATAGCTAAATCGAGAGAGCCAATCATAAAACTTCACACAAAAAAAATAAAATCCGTCCAATAGATACGACAGAAAATGACTTCAATGAAATTCATTTTTGGTCAAACAATTATTGCTCTCTCCTAGCTCTAATAACAAATTCCGTTCCCTTAATAATTTAGGAGCCCTCAAATTATTGTGAAGTCACAAAGAAGCCGTGGGATATAAAAGTTTGAACGACAAATAGTACCATAAACAGTTAGTGACAATCGGCCATGAATGGAACATCATTCTGTCATTAAGTCTTTAAATTATTACTTTTACGTTACTAAAAGAAAGTACTTAACTACTTTACTTTATTCAAAACAAAAGAAACAAGTAATTAATTTTGGTGTTAGTTTTTATAATTTAAATAAGTTACTTTTCTTATTTAATTTCAAAATATTCATCGTTTTAAAATTTTGTAACACATTCATTTAAAATGACTATTAATAAAAAATTATAAATCTTACATAATTATTTTACTTAGCACAAGTGTAATCAAATAATATAATGCAATACAAAAACAGTGACATGTCTCATGTTCCGAAGAAGTTTTTTTTTTTAATGAATAATTTTTTAATACAATGATTTATTTTTGGTTTTTTGTAAAAACGTTTTCAACAAATGCTAACAATACAGATATTAATCTGTATTGTTACAATTATGTTATTTAAATCTAGCAATAGCTTAAGGTCAATCATAGTGAACTATATTTTATAAAAACTCATCTACTGTTTATCAAGATATTAATTATTGAAATTTGATTAATTTTTTTATGAAGGAATGAAAAGAAAAAGGTAAAATTCAAACTGAGCGACTGAAATATTTAGTATTATTATGACTGGAAATACTAAATGCTAGGGTTTTATAAAATGTAGAGAATTTTAATAAAAATATTACCTCGAGTAGCGACCGAACATCCCATTTCTCTCTGATCATGTTGTAATGGTCTTCTGAACTACGTACTTTGGTCGGTTCACTGTGTACTGTGATTTTCTTAATAACAAAACCCATACCTCGGAAACCATCGGATTCTTGTCTTTCCAACCACAACGTATCATTGTAAATCTTGTGTACACGATCAATTAAACTAATCTAAATAAATAAATAATAATCAAGATGATTACAAAGTTTTAAGAAATGATAATCTGTGAAATATGTATAATATTTAATTAGCTGTACCAGATAGTTTATCGTAGTTTTTGTATCGCCTCCGCCCATTTCTCTAAAAAATCTATAGTCGGCCACCAACAATAATGGACAACGTGTTTTTGTCGGAGTCGCCATATAATCAAACGATTCCGCCTCACGCTTGCTTCTCATTATTGAATCTAAGTCTTTGTCTTCGTCATCTACGGTTTCTACTTCTAAAATGTTATACGTTAAAAAAATAATTTTAACATGCACGTTTTTGCATGTAGTTGTTTAGTGCAGTGCTGACCTGCGTCCTCTTTTACATAAGCACACGGTTTATGCGGTTTTTTTTCTGACTGTTCCCAACTCAAGCGCACGTCCGAAGCTTTATACGTAACCATGGTTTTATTGTCTTTGTCAGGTAAATGTCTCCATAGTGGCTACATAAATTACGGATCAAAATACATAAGAAATCAAATTTTACATTACTGCTAAACAAAATTTACTTCAATATGATAAGTTTCGCCGGGCACATCAATAATAGCAGTCATAACACCTTCGTCCAAGTGTACGCCGGCATGTGAAATAGTCTCTCCGAATACACGACCATCATAGAAATGTTCATGATCTGCAATAAAAAAACAAAATTTGATATAAAACCGGAGAATTTTTTTTTGAGGAAATAAACATACCAACGGCTACTGGAGTTTCGACACCTTCTCCATCAATAGTAGAAGCTTCAAAACGATGATGAAGCAAACCTCTCTTAGGCGATAAAATCAATCTAAAATGTCTAAATTGCAACACACCATTAGAACATAATATTATATATATATATATATATAAATATTATTTTTTTATAATTTAGAAAGGATTTAATTACAAAGATTATCAAACTTTGGGACTAATTATAAAACATATTAAAAAAATGTGCTTTTACCTTCCCAATGTCGAAAACGATACTTCTCTAATTTTGTTGAGCGGATGAGGGCTATCGGTCGTACCGCGTTTTACAATATTATGGGAAAGATCGGAGGCGTGCAAAGTATCGAAATATTTGAGGTTTTTATGAATCGAACCTGGTAATAAACAGGAGTAAATAGTAACTATTAGTACATTTTAATGTGTTTTTTTTTTTTTTAATAACAGAATACTTACACAGAATTAATCTTGACGCGACGAACAATAGTATGATCCTAAATAGAATTTTCATGTTGATCTAGGTAGTTAAAAACACATCGAATTAACTTAATCGAAAGTCTACGAGGCTGCAAACAATTGTCATAACAATAATATTATAAGGTATCTTGTTCGGACAAATTTATAGTGAAACAACAACCGAAGTATTAAGATTTTTCAACTATTAGCCAGTCCGCGTACACAATACATACCGAATTCCAACTTTAAACGTATACTGCAATAAAGTCTGAACGAATGGAAAATTTAGCATAATTTCATTGTTTTGTTTACGGTAAATACAATTTCTAAGATAAGCACATCAAAATAAAATTGTTGTCACAGCTATATTATTATTATTTGTGTGTGTGTGTGTGTACTGTCGTATAGGCCGTGTTGTACTATTGAACAGCAAATGGAGGTAACCACTAACGCGGTATAACATTATCTTCTATACCGTGGAGGTAAAACCAGCGGCAGGGGTTGCTACAGTTTCCACGAATGTTGCATGCCACGACTTGTAGTTACTCCGACATTGCTTTATCAGTCATTTGCCACGAATATAATCTACTTCGAATATACAATTGCACGATTCGACGGTTAGTCCGAATTTAACATACTCCGACATCGTAAAGTAATTAAATGAATCATACAACAGTTAACTCGATATTGTGATACCACGAAAGTATTTTACTTCGACTATACATGATAACAATACTTGACCACCGGGCACCGACTATTCCGTGAATTCTATGATTGTATAATGAAAATATATTATATATTATTGTCAGTATTTGTATGTCTTAGATTTGGAACTCATTTGGTGTACAAACAGGGAAATTACAAATTACTATTTAAATATAGTTGTCGCTAGTACTGTATTGTGGGCCGAATGAGTTAATTTCTGTAATGGGCCGAACACTGTCCATTCCGCAACTAAATCCAACTCTACACAAAAGTTTTTGACTAACTACCGATAAATTTAAAGACAGAATTGGGTTATTGTACACAATGAATATATTAAATTCATTAATTACGTTTTATAGTGTATTCTTTATTATCAATTGCACATTTTAATTTACAGTATATCTTTCTTTTAATTATTGGTTAAAAACCTTTTGGCAAGGGCAACAAAGGGCATTGTAAGGGTTATATTTAATTAGTTGACATACATAATTGAATACAGTAGGCTATACATTTGAAATAGAAAAGTTAAACAAAAAAGATAGAAGAACTTTATAAACAATTTTTTTTATGAATAATGATATAAATCTGATTGTAATATATAATTTAGAAGGTAGGTGATTGATTCAAATTAAGTCCCAAGGGTTTCAGATAGATTTTTGAATATATATTGTTGTTAATCCGTTGTGACTGGTATTATAAACAATTTTGAGGTTTTGTATGACACTGAGAGACGAGAGTCACTTAAAATGGACAATAACTTACAATATAAAATAATTGTAACAATATAAAAGTTGATTTTTAATTACGATTAATATGTGAAAACACTCAAATTGGTATTATAAAAAATTAATAATATTGAATAGTTTAGTTCCTAAACCAGTGTTTAAATTTTAAATCAACGGTATAGAGTATAGATTACACCTTTTTTTAATGACATTATTAAGTGGTAAATTAAAAACATTTATATTATGCGGTTAAATTTCTTGACTTCTGGATATCTGCTTTTGTTTATCAAAAGTGATACAAACCATGAAATTATTTCCTGTTACTTTTCATCTTCTACATCAATGTTGTGTATCAAACATTTGTTCAACACCCCTTTAAACATTTTTTTGTAGAATCGTCTCTGATATAATTCAAATTTGTATTTTGTATTTGTATTGACTTTTGGCTTCAGTGTTTGTACAAATAAGTAAATATTAACTAGGCACTATATCGCAACATAATGGATTAAGGGATACCAGAAAGGACCATGGCCCGCTCACTCAGGGCTCACAACATCATGGGATCTTTCAAGATCGAAAAAAGACAATGCATCTCTTATTTACACCGGTACCCGTATATTTTAATACCCGTGTAATCGTAAGCTTTAGTTTGAACTGTACGCCCATTCCTAGTGCAGCCTGCGTGAGATGATATCGTTCTCAACAAAAATATTGATATAATTCATTTAGAATTTGTCAAAAATCCAAATTACCAAAAAAAAATCGGCCGTGACGCCACCAAAATATATTTCAAAAATGATTTAATTCAATAATTTTGAATTTGTCAAAAATCCATAATATCAAAAGTAAAACAATTAATTCAAGCAATTTCATTTTTATTAAAAACAATGTGTACAGGATTATCATAATATATTATTTATGTAAGAAACATAATAATTGAATAGTATTTAACTTTTTTTAATTTTAAAAGATTTTTTGAAGTTGACGCTCTTGTTTCTGGACACACTTCTAGAACCTCTGCTTTAGTGGAGGATTTCACACAGCAAAATAGGTTGCCGTTTGCGGTGTAACACTGTGACCCAGCTACTCACAAATTTGCAATTATTTCATCTACAACTAAAGCTCTCTAGTAATTAGTAGGTAGGGATATAATATCTCAGTTTGTTTAAGACAAACGATATAGTTTTACTATATAAATACTATTATTAATGAATTTCATATTTTTATTTATTCCATTTTTATTAAGCATGACCTACATGATAATGGGGTGACCCAGATATATCGATATATTTCTGTTGGGGTTGATAAAACTATAACGATACATCTAAAAATCGATAAGTATAAAATATAATATTAATAATTATATTACAACTGGATGATGGTATCGATATTACATTATCAATACATTTGAACTGTACGCCCATTCCTAGTGCAGCCTGCATGAGATGATATCGTTTCATAACAAAATATCGATGTTTTGATATTGTTGATCATCTTGTTGTTGCGCTTCCTTATAAGTATCCAAAAAGATATAGTGCCAAGTTAAGGGTTAAAACGATTCATTGATTCGAACAAGACAGAAGACTCAAATATAAATACAAATACAAATACAAATCTAATCAACGCGGAAGATCGCCGAATCGGCGAATGAAATGAGTCGGTGAACGAATGTTGAGAACAAATCGTTTTAGTGAATCGATTCAAATGATTCGAATCATTTTTGTATGATTCATTTATCCCATCTCTAGTGTGCCTGTGTCTCAATAACCATGCAACCATTTAGACTTGTCAATAAACATTTGTTCTGGAGGGTTTGAATTTCCGTAATAATAATATTACTTAAACGTTTAATCTTGATAAAATTTAAATTGATTAACATTAAGGTTTAAATGAAGTTCAAATATTTAATTCAAATAATATTAAAGTTTAATTTCAACAGCAGTAAAATAATTTATGTACACAATTTAGAAGGTCTAGAAACTGTAAATAATGAACTTGCAAAATCTAGCAAATTCATAAAAACATTTTTAGAGTTAAAAGTACAGAAAAATTAACAAGGAAATTCTAAGTCAAAGTTTAAAAGGCCTCAAAATCCAGCAAATGTTCAATATGACTTTTTTAGTCTTAGCATTATGTGCCGGTGCCAGCCTGACCGATATCAAATTTATCGATATATTTGTATTGTTATTTTTCCGCTAAGAACGGCACACACAAGGCCAGATTATCAACTTAGGGCGACAAAAATATAAAACATGATATTTTTATTATTTCTGTTTTAAAAATGATAATGAGGAGACTTTTATGAATATTTAGTTTCAGTGTCAAAGCCAGGGTTAATTTAAACCAACAAAAGGGGACTCCGCGTACTAAATTTCTTTTTTTTAGCAGTCTTATTTTAAGAGCTTAGCTTAATAATACTGAACAATTTTCGGGAGGGTGGCACGTGTCTCCCCAGTGGCTACTTGAAAAAAGCTGAGAACTCTCTTCAAAAAAATTTTGTGGACGGCCTCGCTTTTTTGGCCCTGAACATTTAAATGTTGGTGATGCAAGTTGTGTTGGAAATAGGACAATGAAATCAATTATACGTATAGTCTCTTCATAACACACTAATGTAGTAAAATGTGCTGGTGGCAATTATCCTATGACGCCATGGCTGGCGTGACGTTGGCAACTTTGTATATTGTCGCTTGTACTTTTTCTCAAGTACGACTCCAATCTTTTTAATGTCGAAAAGGTATTGTGAAAATGTTGATACCGTTAAAGTTACAAACGCTGACTTCAAGCACCATTTCGAAAAAAATCAATGGATATATTATTCGAAGTATCAATAGTAAAAATTTGGACACTCATCCTTAGTAACTTTTATCCATTTTTCTGTCTATAATTTTAATTCTGGTTCAAATGTTTTCTACTAACTGGGTAAAATACTACTCAATACTATTAGTTATCTGGCTACCACATTACATATGACATATGTTAATACTCTACAGTTCTTTTTTCTATAGGTGAAGTATCCAACGATTATATTTTAAATCCTCGTCAGTACAATATATTATCCTAAACATTATTCAAGTGGTTCTTAAACAGTTATAGTGGTTCATTTTCTATGTTAAGCTTCCTGTTATTTTCCTGTCTCGTCCACTAGTTGTGAATTATTTTTAAACTCACTATTCAAAGCACTCGTCTTACCAACGATCTCGGTATTAGTGCACTTGCATATATTAGCATTGGTAAACTTTTGGCTTAAGTCGTTCAACGCTTTAATGAACTGCTGTTCTTTCTCCTCGGAAATCATGACCAGAGTATCGATGTGGGTTTTCAACGCAACATTCTCTTCATTTACCAAATCTAATCTATAAAATCAATGTTTAACTTATTAATATTATATCAGTATGAAAAGATAGCCAGATAACATATTTTGCATGTCACACTGGTTTTTTAGTTCACTCTGGTTTGCTATCGACCCGAGTTCGTTAAGTGACTGGTATGATGACCGACAGACTAGATTCCTAGACGACACAGTTTTCATAGCCAGTCCAGTTTTAGATTCTATTTTTTTCACTCTCTGTTTTTCTTTCAACAGTTGATTCTGTCAAAATAGTTTAACGAAAATAATTATACATTTAAAGGATGAAACGTAGGCCGTACTGACTTTTAAATCGATGGCGGCCGCAATACGTTCTCGGATCTGTCTGTGAGCATCAAGCAACAACTCTAGAAGTTGTTGGTTCTCTAGTTGTTTATATTTCTATTGAAAAAAAAAAAAGATTTAGATAGACTACTTAACTGGTAATAGTTAAAAACGTAAACTTACATGCACCACCTCATTCGTTGGATTCGAAAAATCCACTGTTTTTACAATTCTAAAAAAAATGAATACAATTATATTTTTGAAATAAAATAGAAACAAGAAATTATCTTTTATGTAATAGTTAATTTTTAAAAAATAGCAAAATGTAAATGTATTATTTATTATCAATTATTATTTGTCATTAACTAGTTTTTTTTACTGTGTTGGTTTCTTAATATACACAGATCCGCATTGAAACGTTTGATCGAATCAAATAACTTTCAGATATAACAATTTTCTTTACTCTTCTTACCTTACTTCATAGGTACTGTACTGATATGTACTGGAATCTACTGTGCCTGTTATGCTCTACTCTAAATTCGGTTGTGTTGATCTATACTGTTTCGGTTTAAACTGTGCTAGTACAACTGATCTTCTTTTTTTTTAGTTAGTTAATTTATGTTGTACTGGATACTTATAATAATGTTGTATTATATTTCTTTTCCAATTTTGTTTTAAAATGTGAAATTTTTTGTTTTATTTGATATAATAGTTTTATGATTATATAACAGGTCGTATACTGATTTTCAAATTCGAGTAATTTCAACTCATAATAGTCTTCAAAATCCACATTTATAGTGTTTAAGTCACTTGGGTTCTTTCATTATAAAAAGAAACTTTTAAAAAACCAAAAAACTCAGATATACTCGGCTAAAAAACTACTTACGGAATAGATGTATTGTTTTTCAGTTCATTTTTCAATTGTTTTATTATTAAGTCTTTAGCCTCCAAAGATTTCGATTGTTGCTCAATTGTTTTTTCTGCCTACACAAAAAAATAACGAGTCAATATTTATACCGACCGTAGTTAAAAAAAGTTTATTCAAACTTTATCAATGCTTAGCTGTAACGTCTTGGTATATCTTTCATGTTGTAATAACTGAGACGGTTTGTAATCGCCGGCAGACTTTAGTTGAATCTAATAAATCCGTATGACATATTTCATAACATAGCACACACATAAAGTAAAGATATATTAAGAGAAATATTTTAAAAACTGAACAGGAACTCCCTTATAACATTTTAAATGATTAAACGTGTGTTACAGATATTAATTTTCAACAGAAAATTATTTTTATTATTTAAATATCCCAAGCATCATTTATATATTTTTAAAATATTTTAATTGTACTTTATTAAAAAAATATAAAATTTTAGAAAAATAATTCTGACAGTCGATCAAAATTTTACCTACTAAAATATACGTTTTAGTAATCCCCAAATCCCATTTTTATTATATAGGATTATAAACTTATATTAGCTTCGATGCAAAGCTAAAATAGGGTGTAATCAACTTAATAACTTTATTTTAAAATTCGGGTTTAGGAATTTGAAAATTCTGAAAATCCGAATTTTGTTCTCTATATTTAGCCTAGATCTAAAATAGATGAATATGCGTTAACTCACCTGTTGTTCTTCGATGGTTTTGTCGTTTTGTTCGGATTTCAATTGTAGTTCTTCTAGTCGAACCCTCAGCACAGTCATTTCGACGTCTAAAGCTTTGCAGCGGCATTCCCATTTTTTGGAAACCGTCAACAAGTCATTGTATTTGACTCGAGCTTCCTTTAACTGTTGTTCGACAGTCAGGCGGCGTTCCTTCTCTGCACGTCTAGCGTCCTCCAATGATTTCTTTTCTATTTCTTAAAAAACAAACATCAAAAATATAAGGTGCCCGCCAATTTTTTTATCGATATAAAATATAGTAATGGGAATTCAAAAATCTGGATTTTCACAAAAAAATAAAAGCAATATTAGCTATTGAATAATTGTATAAATGCCTAATATTAAAACAGAATTTAGTTGTGTACCTAAGTAAACTGTTTTTGATGATAATTAAAAAAAGAAAAATACTTAACTTTGACTGTGAGTTTCGTTTTCGAAATTCGGATCCCAACAAAATCGAAATCCAAAGTCAATTTAAGAATTTGTCAGCTTTTCAACTCCAGACAAAAAGTAGACTAATATATTTTGATGTAGTAGCACTTTTTCTGAGTATACCCATAAAAGTGACATTACAATATTTGACAGAATGGCTAAGCGCACTACAATTAGATAAAGGGAAAACAACCGAATTCCCAAAAATATGGATAAGATATGTCGATGATGTTCCAGCAATAATGCCTGAAGATTTTGATGTGCCAAACTTTATTGACAAATTAAATTCTCAATACTCTTCAATCAAATTTACATATGAAATGGGAAACTACCATTTTTGGGCCTGTTTATTAAAAGAGTAGATAATAGAATAAAATATGAAATTTACAGAAAAGAGACACACACCTTCGGGTATGTACCAAATAGATCAAACCACACCTGGCAGCACAAAGTGCTGATTAAAACAGTATGATTTTCCGAAAGCAAATTCACCTATGGATGCTACTGATTTCAAAAATGAATTAAATATTATTAAAGAAACAGCCATATTTAACGGCTAAAAACTTCGTTTCAAAATTAATCAACAAACACAAACGGTAAAGAAAATCTGAACAATCAGCACTTTAGAAAGGGAATACAAACAAAATACAGAGAGATCAGCAATGTTATATTTCCCAGGAATTTCACATAAGTTATCAAATATTTTTAAAAAATACGGCATTCAGTTAGTTTTATCAAAGAAAAACAATTTACAAGATCTTTTGGGAAATACAAAAGACAAAATAAGTGAACAAGAAAAATCGGGGATATAACGAATTAAATGTGAAGATGGTTCTAAATGTTATGTAAGACAAACCAGGCGAAATATTGGTGTACGGTTTAAAGACAATTTAAGAAACATTAAAAATCAAGAAGAAAGTAAGTCACCAGTTGCTGAGCACGTACTTAACATTAATCATAACAGTTATTAAAAACCGTTAAAACCTATCAGGAATTAAACACATCAGAAAAACCATTAAGATGTCAAAAAATAAAGAAAGTTTTTTTTTTCACATTTTACTTAGATACACAGCTTGATGTTGTGTAACTATTTAGTATTCACACATTTTAAAATGACTAAAATAGCGTTTTTTTTCTTTTATGAAAACACTGATTTTCGAGTTCTCATCATTAATAAAAAGTGATCAATACTCAATAAATTATCAACACTCTCGCCGTTCACGCCGCCACCACCACCTAAATTTAGTTTAGCTTGGAGTTCACTGTTTTTTTTCTGTAACAGCATAATATACTGAGCTCGTCCCCTGCGATCACAAGAGCCCGTACTGGTCAAGATTGTCTGCCGCAAAGTCGAATCACCGGTCTCGTTCGACAACGCCTACGAAAACATTTATCGAAATTACATTGAAAATCCATCAGAGTATATTAAAATTCTTTACCGTCTTGACGATTTCCAAATCCTTTTTCAGTCGAGACACTTGATCACGGTAGTTGCACGTCTTTTGATTAGAAATGTTCAACTGTTCCCTCAACCTCTGCACGTCTAACTCGTCCACAGTGTTTTTGGGCGCATTGTTTGCACACAACGACTTAACTGCTTGCAATTCGGACGACAACTCACGCACTTTCTCCGTTAGTTGCGATATCTTTCTGGCACCAAAGTCTGTCGCCTTTTTCTTGCCGTTTTCCGGTTTACCGCATTCACAACAGCCAGACACCGCCAACCGGCCGTTTTCCTCTTCCAAGCTCTACACGCCAGACCGGTATAGACCGAAAATTATACATTTAATTAACATTATACAATTATATTTAATTGTGCAATTACACGGAGTCCAACCAACGCAACGACAGACACACCTGAATTTTATGTATCAAATGTCTGTTCAGTTCTTCGGGACTAAGAGAATCCACAGACTTCAAAAGTGAAACGTCGCCGAGTTCATCCTATTACATATGAAACTTAAGTAGGAATTTGCAAAATAATGTTGGCGGATTACCTCATTTTTGTCATGGTATTCCTTTAAGCCATCGACGGTACTCTGATTGGCTTCATCGTCACTCGAATCTCGATTAAAATACTTCATGAAGCTATCCATGTTGCATAAAACCGTTCAATATAATATGTAATTCATTCGAACAATATTTATCAGACGTCGACTTCCCACAACCATTAGGATTGTTGTCGAATAATAAATTATGTTTATTTTTCTTATTATTTTTAATGCATTTTATTCAACAGAATATTGTTTCTAAGAGTTTTGTTTGTATTTTATCCAACAAAACAAAACTGTAACTTATACCTACTATCAAAAATTTGATTGAGAATTTTAATGATAATATAGATTTTATTTAACTACTTAAATCCCGTATAATAAGCTTCGATATTAGTTTATTATTCTAATAGGTACTGGCAATTAGTTATAGTAGAATGAATGTCAACGTAAAAACTTTGAAGGATAATGTAAAATTATAGTTTTAATACAACCTAAAGAAAATAACTATAACGGTACTCCTCGTAAGGCATCACCCTAGGCAGCTGCCCCTCTCGCCCACCCCCTTGTTACGGCACTGTCTTGAAGGCATTTATTTTTCCATCGTTATATTGCCGATAACAGTAAAAACGTGTAAGTCCATAAAAAAAAATTGAGAAAATAAAAACAAGAAAAGGAATCAAAGCTACTATGTTCTGTTGATCTATAGCTGGTGTTTGCCCAACATGTTTGTTTCGGAGGGTCTTTGCATGAATCGTTACCTCGATTGACAGTTACGCGGTATTTCTGTTCTAGTTAGGTTAGTTTCAGACATCATTGCTTATTCTTCAGTTTAAATATCTTTTTAAATTATTTTGTTGAGTTAGAGGATAAAATCATATTTTTAGTACCACAATTATTTTTAGAATGTTTCATGAGTTTTTGGTAATGCTGACTATAGTAGTATAGAATAATAATATCTACAGTCTGCTAATCTTAATTTTCTCTCTAAAATCCTGTCTGGCGAGCTAGACCTTTAATAGTGATTGACTCAAGTTACTTAAAGGGATCCTTCTCGCTTAACTAAAGCCACCCTACTTTTTGTCGTCCCCTTGATTTTTCCAACTATTCTGATTATATCTAATTCCTCTTTTTGTCCTGTCTTACACGTAGTGCATTAGAATGAAGAGCTGCATTTTCATATTTAGCTTTCCGGATTATATTGATACTTATTTTTATTTTACATATACAAGGTGTTATCTATGGACAAGAATTCCGAGGTACACCGCCGGCTCTCTCGTAAGTCGGAATGACATACTTCATGTTAATGTAAGCACAAGAACCTCCGGTACGTTCCAGTACAGCCAGAGTTTCGGCACAAAGATCCATGACGTTGACACGGGAGTTGGCTTCCAGGCCGTCACTGACTTCCTCGTCGATGGATAGATACTTATTGATGGGCGGCAACAATTGCCTGTAATACGGCACCAAGGCTTTGCCGACCATCTGATCGGACGTGGCACATTTCTGTAGGGACTTGAGCGTGCGCACTACAATCGGCCAATGGCCCGTGTCCAGCGCCTGCCTGATGGGGAACACTATTTTGGGCAAGGCTTCCAGCACGCGACACCCGCAATCGGGTTCGTCGAGCATGTCCCGGAGCGCCAGAGCGGCGCACGTCCCGTACGGGTGTGCCGGTTCCCGGAGTCCTAAGAACAGCAGCGGCAGGTACACGTTGTAGTCGACAGACGCCACCGGTATGAGCCAACGGACTCGGCCTGCACTGCCCACCGCCAAAGGGAAACCGGGCGAACCGTAGAGTATGGAAAACTCGGTTCGGACTGCGGTCGAGCCGACAGGCTTTTTTTTAGTTTTCGGCGGGCCCGCGGTCACCGTGTTCTTTTGGTACGCCTGCACGCAGAAACCCGGCACCTTTCTAGGCGCCGGCATCGTTCTCTTGGTCGGAGCGATCGCCGCCATCTTTTATACGGACACCATAGTTTAATGATAACGGTTTTTATGATTTTGGATCACTTTGAATGCTTACAAACGAAATGTTAAGCAAGTACATGTTGTTTGATCCGGTGGTTTCGATGGTGATAACGCATTAATAAAATAACCAAGTACAACGTTTTACTGTTTGAGTCTAGTTTATTTATTTGAAAATATACAACTATGCGTAACTACGACATTTTTGCTGCTGCGAGAATTAAACTCGGCTACGACCACTGTAAAGTTTTTCAATTGAGTTAATGGTTAATGGTTAACATGGTTAATTCGATTTTTTCGCCGATGGTTTAGTCATTTTGAGTCTTAGTATTTAGAACTAAGACTTAAGTAACAGATAAAAACGTGCGTGAGCTCACCGCGTAGTAACAATCATCCATTTGATCTCTTTCTATTTTAATCGTTGGCACTTCAAACCCCGGGTCCTAATTTTATTTTAAACACCAATATAGAAATTTGTCACGTTACAGAATTTGTTTTATTTAATTATTTATGTTTTACTGACAGAGTTGTATATCAATTATATTGTGAGTTACAATTTGTGACCAGTATGATGTATATCAATAACACGGTGTGGAAAGCGAATTGCCGTGCTCGCCGGTAAGTTTGTCACGTATATTTGTGTGTAATTATAATTAGGTTTTTTCAATTAACAAACCATCAGCACCAAAATAAAATTGTTTTCATGTACATACCATAATTTATTTATTATATATTAGGTTATATCGTCTGTACTCTCGTAGCACAGATTAAGCCCAAGCATACCCTAATGGAAGTAAAAGCTTGCAAATTAGTAAGTTCAAATGGTTTTGTTTTAAAAATAGTCACTGTGCTTACTGTGTTCCTTACTTTTATCAAAACAATTTTAATTTTATTCGTTTCAAAAAATATGTATAATATATTATATACCACAATATAAATGACATTAGGCGTCTAATATCTTTTTTGCTACCCATCCGGGAAAGGCATACACAAACAAGATCATGAACAATACAATTCCAATACACATTAGAGTACTGCAGAACTTTGTTTTGTTGTTATTGAACACACGTTTTAATAAGAACGTGCACGGATCAAAAAACAAATTGAAATAGTTATAAGTCGGTCTCCTAAAAAGGGAAAAAAATCAAAAGGTTAATGATAAATAGTAATATTAAAGATGTAAATTTTACTTCGGCTCGGGCAAAGGTTGCGGTGCGTCTCTACCGAAACCTGCCGGTGATCTGTCGGCTTCTTGCTTGGTCAATATTTGAAGTTCAGCGTCAATCTTTCCCTAAAATAATGATCAAACAAAGTATTTACAATGCTTAGATTATGTCATGCAGTAGATGTGTAGTGATATCTAGAGAGTTAAAACTCTTGAGGTTGAGAAGGATTGAGAGAAAAGGGTCTAGAGTCGAATAATTGGAAGTAATTGCAGAATCATCGAATATGAACGATGATGATAACCAATTTAATCAAACCAAATAGAACTATCATTTATGGACTCACCACAAGAGTATGGCTGTTCTTTTCCAAATTTACAAAAGGCCACCACCCTCTAGTTTTTTTCATTTTAAATAAATTAATTCGGGGCACTTGGTCATCTATCACGGTACACCTCACTGGCGTCTTCGTGCCCCTAGGCATATTCCACAAGTCCAAGGTTAGATAACCTGCAAAATCCGTTATCTTATATGAATGTTTATAAGTGTACGACTTAAGATTCTTGACACGAAAGCCAATAATCCGTATAGATCACCTAACCCCACCCTCGACCTAATCTATTGGGACTGACCTATATAAGAGTCTGTCGACAAGTGATCGTTGTCCCAGATCTGAAGGTGCAGGCTTGGCAAGTACGACCTCTCCTCAAGTTCTAGAGAGAAAAATCCTTTTGATTTTTGCACGATTCTATTTTCGCTTTTAAAGTAGACGAATGGAAATTTGAACCGCCAGTTGAAGAATCCTTCGCCGTTTATCGACCTATAGTGGATGTCGGTCGACTGCTCTTCTACGCCCGGCATCCATCTGAAAATCATGATTAATAAATTCCAATCATCATATCATTACAGATGGCCTCGTTTTTTATAAAACACAACCCTTTAATGTAAATATCGCTGGATTTTTCGCCGGTGAAGAAATTGTCGTCGACCAACTGCACGTCGGCGACTGACCAAACGATCACACGGAGCTCGAGAGTTTCGGCAACGGGAGGTTTCACGTTGACAGGTTCTGGTATCGAACCGCTTTTGGGAAACATGTCAATCCACATTTCCACCTTTCCCTGAAAAAAAAACTTATCATGTTATACTCGAAATATTAGATTTTTACATTTTTAATATACTTGATGCATGTTAGGCATATCGGGGTTGATCAGAGTTCTCGTTTCTACGTGTTCCGGTACCAAGTGATGGCCGTACACGGGTAGTTCATGCCAGTTCTTAAGCGCGTGCAAAGCCAACGATTGCCTGTCCTTAGATGCGTTCTTGTCGGTAACGAAAAACTTTTTAGGACCGATTAAAACCCCGTTCGCCGTGTACACCGGAGGCTTCAGTGCATTGCACTCGCACAAGCGATGTAGAATTTTCGAAGGCGTTTCAAAGTCTCGCCACCGATTGTAACCGGTCCTACAACAAAATGTACAATTTATTTTAATTGAAGTTCTTTGTGATCTATAATATACAGTATATATGGTCAACAAAATTAGGCTCAATACATTAAAGCAATACCTAAAATAATATGATAATTTAGCAAATATAATGACCAACATGTCTAAAACTTATTCTACCAGTCTTATAGTTTATCATGAATCCTTGTTTACCATAATACTATTATGTTACTTTGCAATGAGTAGTTAAATGCTTGTTATATCACTTCAATAAATTAAATAAGTTATAATAAACATTAAAAATTATCTTCAACGAATTTATTTTATATATATGCTTGTATAACTATCAACATAAATAATAATCCGATAACATATGTTATGGTTTTTACCTATTGTAATGACTTGACAATCCGCATTGTGCTCTGTGTTTACTATAAAATCTTGACTCGATATCGATTGTGGTTTCCCCAATTAAATCGTCTTTTCCAATCATGTCGTGGTCCATAATCCTCACTGTTACAGTGGAGCACTTTGGGAACGATATAAGTTTTTCAAAATATCTAATTGATGGAAAAAATAAATTTTAGAAGCTCAGTTGAAATGAAATCAAGCATATTGTTGGGAAGTAAATACAACAGTTCAGTGAGCGTGTGTAGTTCAAATTATTATAAAAAGTTTTACCGCCCAAAAATTGGATTCAGCGTGTTAGGAACGTAATTCTTGCGGTCTGAAATGCGACGTGTATGGCCGAATGAGATCTCTATGTAAGGATCCGATGATCCACCGGTATCAGTTGGATGCAAGTTGTACGCTCTGAGGACGTACACACGAACGAGCACTTTGCATTTCGCGTTAGATGATAACCCTGGCCAGTTCTGACGTTCTACGGTAGTCGAGAATAGTTCTTTGATTCTTGTTTTTCTCAACTCATCCCTACTGAGTGGTTTTGGCTGTAAGCGCAAGTTCGCCTAATTTTCAAAAAAAAAAGTAACCACAATCAAAAGGTACTGCTAAATTGTGATTTGTAGTTGATGGGTACTTTTAATATCGCAATTACTGATTGTCTGTTATCATTTTCATGATGTCCGTAAATATTGAATTTTCTAAAGTTGTCTTCGAATCCTCCAAATTCTGGAATATTTTCTAGCTCTTTGTCGTACAACTAAAGTACATTAATACTGGTAATAGTATGATTTTCTTAGCATATTTAAACGCGAGATAATATTTTTAAATAGTAAACTTAATACAATTTCAATACATACATAAAATGTAATATTTATGTTTAATAATTAAAAATATTGTTTGTTTATCAATTATTAAATGTCACAAAAATTTGATATTTTTGATCGTCTAAGGACTATTGTTTTCGTTGTAATATTATTGCTAAGAAGACGCACCAACATATACATACCATAAGGGATTTTATTTTCGAATACTGCATCTGTATGTCTTTTTGTTTACAACGTTTTAAAAACGGAAGCATTTTACATGATATCTTCGTCGTTAAGTTTTTAGTTTCAGGTTTCCTCTGACTGTACTGTAATAGGATAAAATTAAATATTATGCTGTTTGAAAAAACATTGTTTTGCGATAAGTTGTTAGAGAAATAACAAAAAAACAGTTATAAATTAAACAGTACCTACAAATTACAACAATTTCGCTAGACGTCCACAAGATCGTCTCTAAGGTTCTTAGACTAAGGAAATGGCTTTGCAAGCGCTTAATAACTGGCATAAATTACCCGTGTTCGGTTATCACTTGATACCGGAACACGTTAAAACAAGAACTTTGATCGACCCTGATATGCCTAATAGGTATCAAGTAAATTAAAAATATAAAAGTCGAATATTTTGAGTATAATATAATCAATTTAATGTTGTTTTCAGGGAAAAGTGGATTGACATATTTCCCAACAATAGTTCAACACTAGAACCCACTACCTATGTATATATCGATGTACGATGAAGGATTGCTAAATAATTGACGTTTCATCTACTTGAAAACCGAAAACAAATTTGTGCAAAAATGAAAAGGATTTTTCTCTGGAATTAGATGGGATGTCCTACTTTCTTAGGCTGCACATTCAGATCTGGGACAATGATTCCTTAAATATGTTCTATTAGTTATCAGTAGTCGTGCAACAAGTTGTCCACTGCGCTGTGATTATTTAATGGTTTTCTTTATTTTTTCTTTTAACATCTAAATGTCTCCGAATAAAGGAAGTAACTAACCCCAAAATCGAAACCTACCAGATCGCTACTTCACTTATTCCACCAAACGACAGCACCTAGGATACATAACCTAAAATGCGATAAATGTATGTAGTTAATATTTTTAATTGTGAATGCTTCCACAATTAATTATCTAATCAAACCTTTGATGACTCTTAAATCACACACACAAAATTCTATAAAGTTAAATTTAACTTCAGTTAAAGATTATAGATCAATAACAAACCGTTTAGACTTTAGATGAATCTGAAACAGAATCTCATACATATCAAATTCCTATTTCCTGCAGACAGACATTTATAAGTAATTATCAGGAATCTTTAAATTACTCTAATGAAAAAAAATATTTTTAAGGAGCTTACAGAACAATAATTTGAAATTGAAGCAGTGACACGACTTACAAAACCTATTCAAAAGCCAAATACAGTTTGTTATTGCTTTCCTACTCTCTAAAACATCAACTGAGTTATATTCTTTAAATAGAGCTGTTACATTACGTAGTAATAATTAAACGATGGAAACCTCAAATATAAACCTATATTAAATTCTTATACCTGCTGTTAAAAATTGTTTTACATGATGTGTGTTGCGACAGCTCGGCCCGTTACGATAATCAAACAAAGTTTTGCACAAATATTTAGCACTTAATTAAGTTAATTGTAGGTAATATGGCGATGATCCTTAAGCTATGCATACTATGGTACCTCCTTTATCTTAGACGCATAGTACTTGCTCCACCAATTGTATTCGCTTTCGTCGTCGTCGGATTCTTCCGGCAACTTTTCATATTTGTTTTGAAAACCAGCAAAGAAGCGGACGCATTTGTTTTTTAACAATTTAAAATAATTAGGAATGCATGGGCACAGACAAGAAAACACACTGTATATAAACAGCATAATGGATGCCATTGTATTTGTTAGCCATTTAAAACACGAAGGAGTCAGTCTCTTGATGCATTTTTTTAGCGATCGGCTGCAACTGTATTTGATGTTAGTACTAACCTGAAAAATTGACACGAGCATGTAATAGAAATTCTAAAATTAATTGTGAAATAACACCTCTGTTATTTTGGTGGTTTGGTTTTCATTATCTTCGTCCTCATCATCCGTTGTCGAACTTTCGTCCTCTTCTACATTTATTACTATAAAACAACTATTATAATATAATATACAATTTCGATTTTTATTATAGTGTCAATTCAAAATACCCGTGTTTATCGGTCGCTCCTTTTGCAAAATGCTCCATTCCGCTTCAGAAATCGAAGGTGTCAAAAACCGATGCGCCGGTTGCGGTGCGCACATGCCAATTTGGTGGTAACTCTTTTTGAGTTTGAGCTTACTGAACAGTCGGAACGTTACCGGAGGAATGATGTACGGATTTTCGGGTAGTTCCTAGAGTAGAAACATGTTTAACATAAATTAAAAGTAACCGTTTAAGTCCATTGGAAATGTACACATACGACATCTATTGAGAATTTCGCATTCACCGAATTCGGAAAGTTGGGGAATATAGCAATTCTTTTTATCACGTCTGAGTTTACTTGAAATTCGGAACATGACATCCGAACGAAAAGTTCGTGGAAGTACGATTTAAAATTTCGCATACCCCAAAACAACACGTGTAACCTACCAAAACCAAAGTTAATTTTTTCAACTATTCTTAAATAAAATACCTTTAGAGTATACAAAAGTAAATAAGACGCCTATATTTTGTATTAAATAACATTAATTACTTGGCACTTCAAACAAAATCTACTTTAAATGTAAAACCTTTTTTTGTTTGCCATTAAAAATTAGTTACATGGATTAAAATATATTAGGTTTAGCTACTTAGGTAAAATCTGTTTTTCTAACCGGTACGCACGACAATTAGGTAGAACTTCTTTTGGCATAGGAACTACTTGTGTGTTATCATTTTCCGCAGACTCGGATTTCGTAACCTCCACAGAAGCGAAAAGTTCTCCTATTTTGTTCGTCCTATCGAACACATCGAACCAGTTTAATTTTTGTTCTTTGTTCAGTTCGGAAGTATTCATTTTCAGCACCGAAAACCCAATTATTTTCTAAAAATCGTTCATGGTAAAAGTTAAAATAATGAAATACTGTATGTGAGCTAGACATTAGTGGCGTGGTGCCCGTGTGGCGGCCTAACAGTGCTTAGTAAAGAAAGTTAATTATTATTTACATAATTAGTGTGTTTGTTTTGTATTAACTTATTTGTAGTTTAGACCAAAACTTCTAACAATATAGAATACAAAAACCAAATCGAAATACACACTTCAACATCGGTCTTCTGTTTCGAAATTTGAACATCACATAATTGGAAAATCGCATAAATTGGTGCTTTCCCATAACTATAATACAAAAATGATTTTGACATCAACGTAACATTCCAAAACGGAGATAAACTTGAATTGATAACCTAAAAACGGACACATAATTATATTTCGGTACAATACAAGATGATCATTTTATCTTAAACCACTCAATATCTCACAGGGTTTAATAAGAAATTTGAAGTGTTTTTTTTCCATAATGTTTTTCTACAACGTGATCTCAATTTTTCACATTTTGTTTTTGTTTTTACCCCCTCCCAACTTAGGTTTTTTGAAATTTAAATGGTAATGCATACATTTCGTTAACTTTTTCAATTGAGAATAATGTACTAAACATTTTGAATTGTCGATAACCAGTTTTGGGACAATTAGTTTTGAAGTTATTGAAGCTTCAAGTTTAGGGCAGAAGGAAAGGTGGAGTGTAGTATTATTTTTATCCGTGTACACATTCCATCCCATCCTCACTTTTAAACTATTATAACTTCAAAAATAGTTGTTCAAAACTGGTTATCAACCAGTCAAAGTTTTTAGTGCAATATTCTTAATTGTGTGCGATGGCATTTAAGTTTCAAAAGTTGAGAAGGGTGTAAAAACACATTTTTTTTAAAAAATTGAGATCACATTGTATCTTATTAAACTCAATGAGGTATTGAGTAGTTCACGATAAAATGATCATCCTGCAGAAAAAAATCAAGTTGAAATGAAAGTCCAAGAACATGTGTTTGCATCGAATATCCGGCTACTGTAACTCGTATCTTTAGACTTAGTTGCCCGTAACGTTTATAGCACACTTCGGTTAGTGCAGCTTGACTTATATGGACTTTACATTGAATCAACTACAAGTAAAGTATAGGAAATATAGTTTTTGATTATTTAATTATATTGTTTATATTATAAACGGATCACACATTAACACTTACAGTTTCTTTGATTTCAAATCGATATTGTTTGCTAAGACGACTTGTGTTTGCCGAAATTATACCAGGAATGTTTTCCAAACATTCGTCAAAGTCGTTGTAAGGGCCAACCCAAAAAACTGTTTTGACTCTGCCGTCGAATGCGTTCTCTGTATTGTCAGTGGCTGTCTAATGTAGGTAATTCAAACGCAACAAAAATCACAATAATCATATTAGTGTGCATTGACATTATAATATGTATTAATTGATGATGCAATTAAAAAAGTTATCCGAAATACATTACTTACAAACAACCAGGATTGCATTTCTCCACAATATAGACCTCTTTCTTTTATCTCGCTTGAATGTAGAAAATGTCTTAACTCCATTTGACATGTTGATACTATTTTTTTGTCGTTCCACAAGTTCAGTATAATATCTGGTGGTCCGTTATACGACTAAACTTATAGATAATGATGAGTATATAAAATATTTACATTCTTAAAATATAGTAAAATTTTTAAACAAAATTTTAACTAGTTTGGATAATTTTCTAAAAAAAAAAAAAATAATAATTATATTGCAACTTCGTGGATGAAATTATTCATTAGTTCATTTATTAATGACTGAATGAATAATTATGATTTTGAGTGCTTGCCTGAATTAAACTGTCCTGTATGCTTTCTATCTTATTTCTTATTTCGTCCAAAATTTCGTTGTTTGTCGAAACAATTGTGTCGCTGTGAGATATTGTCGTTAGGTTATTTTTTTGTTGCAAGCAATTGTCATAAATGGATTTCTAAAACATTATCCCCCATTAGCCATTACAGAATAAACAATTCATTTTTAATTTTTAAAACTATGTAATTTAATGTAACATAAGGTAGTAAGAGTTTTTGTTAATATTGTAAATACGTATGGAATAAATTTTCGTTAATAATTATTAGCATATTTTGTATTAACTGTTATACCTAAATTTGATCGTTTGTATCGATTGACTTTTACTTAAACCATTTAATAA